TGAGCACGGCGGGGATGGAGAGGAGGAGGTGGAGGAGGTGGAGAGGAGGAGGACCAGTGTACACCCAAAACTCATCCACGATGTTGCAGTAAACCTCGCTCTGAGTTCCCTCCTAGTATGTCCCTGCAGAGATTCATGTTCACAGACGGAAGTGCCCCGTTAGAAGACAACCATCTGAAAATCCTGAACCGTGCCAGAACACCATTCCTGGGACTTCGCCGCCGCGAATCAACGTTACTGCTGCGTCTTGACGATCTTGATTCGTGCCAGAATAACGTTCCCGGAACTCCAACACCGCGAATCCGCCGACCCCTTGTGGGTCTCTAGGCGTGTGAGATAGTTCCCCCCCCCTAACCCCCCCCCTGGGACCCCAAACCGGAGATTTGACCCCCCCCCCCGGGCCGCAGACGAGCGCACCACGGGGCTCTTTTGGGCCCAAAAGGGGATCAAGACGGGCCAAGAAGGCCCCAAGACTCCTCCAAGACGGCTCACGAGAGCTCCGAGGCGCCAAACGAGCGCTCCCAGACGCCCAAGATGCCCCCAAGACGAGCCTAGAGGCCCCCAAGACGGCCCAAGACGCCTCCAAGAGCAGTCCTCAGAAGGGCCGAAGCGCCGAAAATCGTCAATTCCTATGGGAAAACGTACATTTTGATCACATACTACTTCTCGGCCTTCACGGCGTTGAAGACGGTCCCAGAGCACCCCAAGACCGCCCCGAGAGGCCCCCAAGAGGCGCCCAAGTCGGCCCAGGAGGGCGCCAATACGGCCCAAGAGGCCCCCAAGACAGCCCAAGAGGGCCCCAAGACGGCCCCAAGAGGTGCCCAAGAGGGGGAGCCCGAACCGACAATCCGAGCCTTCCGCCCCAAGGCGGCCCCAGAAGGCCCCAAGAGGCCCCAAGAGGCCCCCAAGACACCCACAAGAGGCCCCAAGAGGCCCCCAAGAGGCTCCAAAACGGCCCCCAAGAGGCTTCGAAACTGCCTCCAAGAGTCCCGCGAAAAGCCCCCCAAGAGATCCCAACGATCACCGCACAAGTCTCATATCAACAACCCAGGCACGGTGGCGGGGTTGCGTTTGCGCACAAAAAAATGATTCGCGCTCTCGAGGCCAAGATTGCTCCAAAACGGCCCAGGATGGCTCCAAAACGGCCCAAGATGGCTCCAACACGGCCCAATAACGTTCGAAGACGGCCCAAAATGGCCTCAAGATGGCCGACAAGGCTTTCACTATCGCCCACGAAGTCTCCAAGAAGACCCCCAGGACATCTGAAAGAGGCGCACATTACGCATTTCATTACATTTCCATTGCGTTGTTGCACATGTTTGCAATTGTTGCCTTTCCCGGCTTCCGTCGGCTCACGTAGCCCAAAGAGCCTCCAAGATCGCCCCACGGCGCCCCAAGAGGGCCTCAAGACGGCCCCAGAGAATCCCAACACGGCCCAGGACGCCTCCCAATTCGGCCTAAGACGACCCCAAGACGGCAAAACCTGTCTCCAAATTGGTCCCAAGCTGGTGCAAGACGGCCCTAACCCAAAACCCATAACCCAGAGCCTTGTTTCTGTGTCGCCTTCCTCCTTCTCCTCCTCCTCCTCCTCCACCTCGGCCGCCAGGTGGGTTCAAAACTGCTTTCCAAAGGTCCCCGAGAGGCGTGCCGCGAGATCCCTATACACATACAACAAGTGTCTAACCAATAGCACATATCCCAGAGTTTCGTCTCTGTGTCCCCGTCCTCCCCCTCTTCTCCTCCTCCTCCACATCCTCCTCGCCCACTCCTCCTCTTCCTCCCCCGCCTCCTCCTCTTCCTCCCCGATTCTTCTCCCCCCATCCTCCGCCTCACCCCCCATCCCTCTCTCCCCCTCCCCCCTGTCCTCCCCCGCACGCGCGCCCCCGATTGGGCATCATTTGCAGGTCTTGCATATCAGGGTGCCCTTTTTTGCATCGCGTGCGACGTTGGCAGGGTTCCGGGAGAACGCCGACGTCGGTAGTCTTCTCTTGCACGCGCCGCCGCACTGATACGCCTGGCAACTGCGGGCTGTGAACCCGAGGTTCCGGCAAGACCGCCAAGATGAGGGGTCGGCGGATGTGGCGTAAGCCTATAGAATCTGAAATTTGACGCAAAAATATAAAAAAAATACAAAAAAAGAAACAAAAAGAACAAAACAAAGAAAAAAGAAAATAACAAAAACAAAAAAACTCCGAGAAAAAGAAAAAGCTCTCCGGGCGTCCCCAAGCTGGGGACTTGACCGTCAAGTCCAAGACGCGCTCGTCCAACAGAGCGTAGGCAAACCCAGCTCCGGCGTAAGTCGAAGCCCCCGGTCCCCGACCCTTCGGAGAGGTGGGACGACAGCGGGCCCCTCAGAGTCCAAAGCAGATCGCAGGGCCCTCCCGGGCTCCATCACGACCCGCTGCTCGACGTAGATCCGCGGGGGCGACGAAGCATCCTGCCATAGTAAAACGAGGCTAGGATCGGGATAAACGCTCCAGCGTTCCTCCCTCCACTCAGGGCGATCCGGCACGATCGGAGAGGAGGAGGCAGCCCGTACTCCTCCGAACCTGTCTACGACTCTCAGAGATTTCGAGTTATCCCGATCCGATGTTGTCCCGATCTTCGCGTCGTTTTAAGGAGGCCCCCAAAAAAATGGGCGACAACCGCCGGGAGCTGGCCGCCGCTGTCTCGGCCGGCCCCCGCCCCGAGGGATCCCCCGACGCCCGGCCCGGCGAGGCCACGCGGGGACCTCCTGGGCCGGGAGGCGGCCTGTCTCCCTCTTGCTGGGGGGGGGGGGCACTGCCACCTCCACGCCTTCCCCTCTTCCCCCTCTTCCCCCTCTTCCCCATCTTCTCCCCCCCCCTCCTCCCTCCTCCTCCCTCCTTCTCATCCTTCCTCCTCCCATCCCCAAGCCAAGATGATTGGACAATCTCAAGGCAACGCAGGAAGAAGTCAGACCACTCGTTGTTTCATCAGCGCACGGGCACTCGTACAAAAACTACCGGTTTCGTGCCAACGGCTGCGGTCAATGGACAAACGAGGAAGCATGCACGAGCGGAGACTCCCATCCTCCCTCCTCCTCCCCTCCTCCTCCCATCCTCATCCCATCCTCATCCCATCCCCCCGTTCCTCCGCCCCAGCCCCCCGTCCCTTCTCCCCCCTCCCCTTCTTCCCCGCTTCCCTCCCATCCCCCTCCCTTGCCGGCTCCCCCCCTCGCCCCCGCCGCCGCCGTCGTCGTGGTCGTCGTCATCGCACCTCGCTGTGCAAGGACCTCCGAGATGGCCTCCGCAGGGACCCCGAGAGGGCCCGATGTGCCCCCAGGAAAACCCCAGGAATGGTCCCGAGAGGATCCCCCTCCTAACTCACTCCCTCCTCCTCCCCCTCCTCCCCCTCCTCCTTCTATTCCTCTTCCTTCTACTCCTCCTCCTCCGCCTCCTCCTCCTCCTGTCCTCCTCCTCCTCCTCCTCGTGCCTCCCCCGCCCCCTCCCCCTCCTCACCCCTCGCCCCTCCTCCTCCTCCTCCTCCCCCGTCCTCCTCCTCCTCCTCCGCCCCTCCTCCCCTCCCTCCTCCTCCTCCTCCTCCCCTCCTCCTCCTCCTCCTCCTCTCCCCCTCTACCTCCTCTCCTCCTCCTCCTCCTCCTCCTCCTCCTCCTCCTCCTCCTCCTCCTCCTCCTCCTCCTCCTACCGTCCCCTCATCCTCCTCCTCCTCCTCCGCCTCCTCCTCCATCCTCCGCCTCCTCCTCCTGCTCCCCCTCCCCCTCCTGCTCGTCGTCCTCCCCATCCTCCTCCCCCTCTCGGCCGCGTGTGCCGTGGGAGCCGCGTCGCACCGACAGCGCCCCTGCGAGCCACGGTCCTGCTGGCCGACGACGCTGCCCGCGGCGGGTGGGTAAGCGCAATCCCCCGCCTCTCTCCCCTCCTCCCTCCTCCTCCTCCGCCTCATATCAGCCGCCTCTCGATTCATCATCATCTCATCATCATCTCAGCATCATCATCATCGTCTCATCATCATCAGCATCATCATCATCAGCAGCAGCAGCATCAGCATCAGCATCAGCATCAGCATCATCATCATCATCACCATCATCATCATCATCATCATCATCATCAGCATCAGCAGCATCAGCATCAGCATCAGCATGATCAGCATCAGCACTATAATAGCATCATCGTCGTCGACACCATAACCATGATTCACCAGCATCATGATCATGCGCATCAGCATCAGCGGTATCAACCTCATCATCATCATCATCATCAGCATCATCATCATCATCATCATCATCATCATCATCATCAGCATTATCATCGTCAACACTATAATCATCATCATCTTCATCATCAGCATCATCATAATCAACATTAGCATCATAATCATCAACAGCAGCATCATCATCACCATCAGCATCAGCATCATCCGCATCAGCATCAGCATCAGCATCATCATCATCATGATCATGATCATGATCATGATCATCATCATCATCATCACCACCACCACCACCACCACCACCACCATCATCATCATCATCATCATCATCATCATCATCATCATCATCATCATCATCATCGTTGCTTCCCCCAGGCATCCCCTACCTCCTCCTGCTCCTCCTCCTTCTCCTCCTCCTCCTGCTTATGTTCCCTCGCCGCTCCCTCGTACAGATGTCGGGGAGTCCCATGCTTCATGCCTCGCGCGCCTCTGCCCACATGCCCCGCGGCCGTCGGCCCTGAGACTCCAGGGCCCTTGGCATCTTCCATTCCAGCGAGCGCGTCTTCTACGAGTCGCGACAAGGGTCGTTACTGGAGATGCCCCCCCCCACCTGGGAACGTCACCGGTTTTCGCTGGCGCCGTTTGGGAATTGCTAGGGGCAGCTCGCTCCCAGACATTGCCGGCGCGAATCGTGATGTTACCAGCCCCCTCGCTCCGCTCCCCCCTCCGCCTCCGGTAACGGCCGTCGTCGCCAGGGGTTAAAAACAAAACAGGACCCAACGAGCAGAGTGCGGCTGCTCTTGCAGGATCAGTCAGCATTGGAACGGGAAATCGTATCGAATCGAAACCTCTTCGTCGGACCAGGTTGCATCGGCACGGAGTCGGAATCGAATCGGATCGGCTGCGCCAACATGCACAAGAGCGCCATGCAAACATCGGGCAGCATCGGATCGTCGGAGCATCCGAATCGAGTCGGATCGGGCCGGCCAAAACCGACATCGAGTCGGATCGACATCCGAACCACACCAAGGCAGAGCCCCAGGAGGGGGTCCCGCCATGCACGCCTTGTCCTGCGCCACCACAGCACAACGGCGGGGACAGGCGCGGCAGCACATCCGGATAATCAGCCACCTCGCCTGACACAGGTCACCAAACTTCGCGCGTCGCGCCCGGCGATGCACGGCTGTCTTCGCGCCCTCGCGAGGCTGCCTTGACCGCGCGGAGCGCGCTCATCTGCACCTACCTGGGGGCGGCCCAGCTGACTCGCCGAGCCCCTCCCGCTCCACACGAGACCCCTCTGCTAGAAGGAGGCCACGAAACAGAAACATCTAATTTCAAGTTCCGCGCGGGTTGCTTGGATCGGAGCTGGACACCCCCTTCCTGGCGCGCGGAGCGCCACGTAAATTTATGGTGATCATGCCGGGTGCTCTTCTGTGGCATGCATCCCCCTCTCGCTCCCCTGGAGCGGAGCCGCACGCTCCTGAGCGTGGTGGGCTATCAGGCTCAACATGGCTCGACACCGGCGATCAGTGGGCCATCGGGGGGGTCGATGCGTTCCCCCCTGGGCCTGTTCCTGCTGACGGTGTCCCTGGCCAGGGCTTAAAAACATCGATCCCCGAACCTCCCCCAGGGTGCGTTGTGACCAGGATTCCGAGGCGGACCTGGCCGCGGCCACGAAGGCGCACCAGGACGAGCCACAAAACAAAACTCCAGAGAGCGGACCTCGAAAGCTCGAGCCTCGGAGCCCATCCCAAGACGAAGCCAGGACGAGGAGCACATCGGTAATCGGAGGGCACCAACTATACACCAACACCGATCCTGGCCAGGATAACCCTGGGCCCAGGATCGGTGTATACGCCCTCCTGCCTTGCTCTGGAGGATGCCTCGGGCGCCGCGGCCTTCTCGGAGCCTCCCCGGACGCTCCGAGAGCGTTCCAGAAAACGCTCCGGAACGGATCTGCGCTCGCCCTGGCCCCGCCCGGTATGCACCTCCCAGGTTGCCCCTGATGCCGCCCCCCTGCACGGAAGGGCTCACAAGCTTCCCAGAGAGAGAGAGATCGGCCTGCAAGCGCCGTTTTGTTGTGCTGAGCGCGGGGCGCCTCAAAGCACTCAAAGGACGGCGGCCTGAGCAACCCGTGGTTGCACGCCAGCGACGTCACATCAGGCACATACCCTGCCCGACAGGCAGCAGTACACGTGCCAGCAGCCTCGATCGTCGCTCCCTCCTCGCAGGGCGCGTCCGCTGCATCCTCGATGTCACCAGGGGCCATGCACCCCTGCTCGACGCACTCGAACGATGCGGGTGTCAGCTCTCCGCGACTGCACGCTAAGGACTTCACGTCAGGTGCATACCCTTCCTGACACAAGGCAGTACAATTGCCTCCAGAGTCAATCACGGCCCCCTCCTGACACGGCACGCCCTCTGCGTTCTCAACGCTGGCGGGGGCTGCGCATGTCTTCTCGCGGCATACGAACATCGGCGGCCTCAGCTCACCCCGACTGCATGCCAAGGAAGCCTCATCTGGCAAAAATCCTGCCTGGCAGGCAGCAGTACAAGTTCCTGCAGCTTCGATCGTCGCTCCCTCCTCGCAGGTCACGCCCTCTGCATTCTCGATGTCTCTGGGGGCCACGCAACCCTGCTCGTAGCACTCAAACGATGCCGGTGTAAAGACTCCGAGACGGCATTCCAAAGACGCCACAGAAGGTGTATATCCCTCCTCACACTCAGCAGTACAAGTCCCACCCGAGTGGATCTCAGCCCCCTCCTGGCACGACTCGCCCATTGCGTTCTCAATGCTTGTGGGAGCCAGGCATCTCTTTTCGTAGCACTCGAAAGATGGTGGCCTGAGCTTACTTCTACTGCATGTCAAAGACGGCTTCGAGGGTGCGTACCCTGCCCGGCAAGCGGCCGTGCAAGTGCCCCCAGCACCAATATCGGTTCCCTCCTGGCACGCCACATCCTCTGCATTCTCAATGCCCGTCGGGGCTCTGCAATTGATTTCGCGACATACAAATGATGGCGGCCTCAGCACACCCCGACTACATGCCAGCGACGTCAAATTAGGCACATACCCTGACAGACAGGCTACAGTACAAGTGCCACCAGCTTCGATCGACTCTCCCTCCTCGCAGGTCACGTCCTCTGCATTCTCAATGCCGCTAGGGGCAACACAACTCTTCTCGCGGCACTGGAAAGATGCTGGTGTAAAGTCCCCGCGACTGCAGTACAAGGACTCCACGGTCGGTTCATATCCCTCTTGACACTCGGCAGTACAAATCCCACCAGACTGAATGTGCGGCTCATTCTCCCAGCATGGCGAAACCCCTGCGTTCTCAACGCTGGCGGGGGCTGCGCATGTCTTCTCGCGGCATACGAACAACGGCGGCCTCAGCTCACCCCGACTGCATGCCAAGGAAGCCTCATCTGGCAAAAATCCTGCCTGGCAGGCAGCAGTACAAGTGCCTCCAGCTTCGATCGTCGCTCCCTCCTCGCAGGTCACGGCCTCTGCATTCCCTATTTCGCTAGGGGCCACGCAACTCTTCTCGTAGCACTCAAACGATGCCGGTGTAAAGACTCCGAGACGGCATTCCAAAGACGCCACGGAAGGTGCATATCCCTCCTCACACTCAGCAGTACAAGTCCCACCCGAGTGGATCTCAGCCCCCTCCTGGCACGACTCGCCCATTGCGTTCTCAATGCTTGTGGGAGCCAGGCATCTCTTTTCGTGGCACTCGAAAGATGGTGGCCTGAGCTCGCTGTGACTGCACGTCAAAGATGCCGCTGTGGGCGCGTATCCGGCTTGGCAAGCGGCCGTGCAAGCGCCTCCAGCGAGAATATTGGTTCCCTCCTGGCACGTCACATCCTCCGCGTTCTCGATGCCCGTGGGGGCTGTGCAGCCCTTTTCGCGGCACTCGAACGGCGGCAGCTCCTGCTGATTGCATGTCAAGCTGGTGACGTTCGGCACGTAGCCTGCCTTGCACGCTGCGGTGCAATTGGTGCCAGCCCTGATCGACCCTCCCTGCTCGCACGACGGGCTCGCGGCGTGCGCGACGCCCTCGGGGGCCGAGCAGCTGTGCTCGGCGCACTCGAACGACGGTGGCCTCAGCTCCCCCAGAGAGCACCTCAGGGACGTGCTGCTGGGCAGATGTCGGCTGCGCGCAGGAGTGACCCAGGCACAAAGGACCCGTGGTGCGAGACCTTCGCGAGGGCGCGTTGGGGCCACAGCCCAGCGCGAACGCAGCTGCTGTCGCCTCGCATTCAGGCATCTGGGGACGCCGGTCTGCCCGCACCAAAATCGGGAGCGGCCAAGAGGGGGGTGTCCAAGAGGGGGGGGTGCAAATCATGACCGGCGGCATGTGCGCGGCCCAGCGGGGGGGCCAGGAACGTAATGAAATAAGAAGAGGCGCCATGAAATCTGGGGAAAAATCATGGCCCGCGCCATGAAATCCACCCACCCCCCCTAGTCATCACCCCCCTCTTTTCCGCCCCCGACAAGAGTCAATACGGCGAAAGGTCACTCTTGCGTGTTGCCGAAGATAGCCCACCTGGCACACAGCAGCACACGCACCGCCAGAGCCGATCTCGGCCCCCTCCCGGCACGGCACGCTCCCTGCGTTCTCGACGCCGGCGGGGGCCCTGCAGCTCGCCTCGCGGCACCGGAACGATGGCGGGTGGAGCCGCCCCCGGCTGCACTCCTCCGTATCGTGCTAACTGATCCCCATCCCCATCGGGCCATGGTATCTCAGCCGCACCGCCGCACACCCAAGTGGGGGATAGCCCCCCTCGAAGCCCAGGAGGAGCAGCCTGTATCCCCATCTAGGGGGTAGATCGGCCAATGGGGCCCAGGCCACACCCGTGGGAATACCGCGGGTTCGTGTCGTGTCGACCCCGGCGTTGGTTCCTGACACCGCGGGGGTCGTTCAACCTTGACCGATCGGGCGTCTCCGAAACGTCAGATCGTTCAACATCGACCTATTCTGGGTCGCAGGCGACGTTCAACGCGGGGTCGCCGGCGGTCGACACGACGCGAACCTCCCGTAAGGATCAGCTAAACGCTCAACGTTGAACACCGCCAGTGGCCCAGGATCGGTCGATGTTCAACGATCCGACGTTTCGGAACGGCCGATCGTTCGAGGTAGAACGATCTTCGCGGTGTCAAGAACCAACGCTGGGGTCAACACGACGCGAACCTGCCGTAGGGATAGGCTACCCTCCTCCTCCACCTCCTCCTCCTCCCTCCTTCTTCTCTTCCTCCCGTCTCCTCCTCCTCGTCCTCCTCTTCCTCCTCCTCCTCCTCCTCCTCCTCCTCCTCCTCCTCGACCTGCTCCTCCTCCTCCTCCTCATCCTCCTCTCCTCCTCCTCCTCATCTTCCTCCTCCTTTCTTCGGCAGGCCACTGGGCGCGCACACCCGAAGCGTCAGACCTTCTCTTCCTCCTCCCCCTCCTCCTCCTCCTGCTCCTCCTCCTCCTCCTCCTCCTCCTCCTCCTCCTCTTTAATTGCTGCTCAGCTCCAGCGCGGCCACGTCGGGCACGTACCCGCGCGCGCAGCTCGGTGTGCAGGTGCCCCCGCTGCCGACGGAAGCGCCCTCCGCGCACGCCGCCTCTGCGGCGTGCGCGACGCCCACGGGCGCCTCGCACGCCAGCTCCTCGGGAGCAACAGCAGTACTGCAGGTTCGCGTCGTGTCGACCCCGGCGTTGCTTCCTGGCACACCGCGGGGATCGTTCAAACCTCAAACCTGAACGATCAGCCTCTGGGCCACGGGCGGCGTTCAACCTGAAACGCCCGCGCTGGGGTCGCCGCAGTCGACACGACGCGAGCCTGTGCCAATGACACGCCAGTGGACCTACCGTGGGAAACACCTCAGCCCGTTGCTGTTGAAGGAACACGAGGCCGTCGGGCAAAGACAAAGGAACAACACACGCTCACGGGTTCCCAACGGCGGCGTGTGACTGAGACTCTTCCCCCAACCATGCGACGTCCTGTTGTTGGTCCATGCGCGGCCCTCGGAAGTCTGAACCCCTTGCCCCGGGACCGGCTTCCCATCCCGAGTCGTTCTTGCGACGGTCCGGGAGCCCTGCGAGGGCCCCCGGGGGCCGAAAAGCTACGAACAAGTGCCGTCCCGATGTCTCCAGGACGTCGCATGCCTGGGCTTCCCTGCCGAGCTCCAGGCACGAGAACGCGGGTGGCGTCAGCCGCCCCTCGCGGCAGGCCAGCGCGGCCGCCGAGGCCTCGTGGCCCGAGGGGCACCGGGCCGTGCAGCTGCCGCCGTCCTCGATGCGCGGACCCTCCGCGCACCGGGCGCCCTGGCCCCCCTCCGCGACGGTGCAGCCGTAGGCCCACCTCCCGAGCAGGCCCTGGAGCGCGCTTTTGTCCAAATCCTGGCAGGCTTACCCGCATGGCATTCCCGCCCCACCCTCCCCCTCCGCCGCCACGTCGAGCAGCGCTGGGCCGAGACGGCGCGCGAGTGAGCCCCGACTCGCGCGGAGTCCAGACTCCCTTTTGGGCCTCGCTGCACCGCGCCGCATCCCTCCGCACTTCATGCAAGCAAGCTTGCCGGACTCTGAAGGACAAACTGTCTCCTGGAGCGCGAGCAGGCCCAGGGCCACCGCTGCCGCGCCTGCCGCGGGCCACCCTGGGGCCTGGCCGGCCGCGCCCCGCGTGCCCCCAGCGCCGCTGCTGGTTGCGGCGTGCTCGCCAGCGAGCTCCAGCGGCAGCACCGCGCCCGGCGCGGGTGGGTCGGGCGCGCCCGTGAGGACAGCGCCCAGCTCCTCGCGAGCGGCGAGAGCGGCGAACGCATCCATATCCACGCCCTCGCGGCCGGGGCATAAGCCCGCGGATACGCGGTCGCACGGATACTTTCCGCGAGGGGCGTTGGCGAAAAAACACCCCACATCAGAGGGGCTGCGGCCCAGGGGCCCGGCCCGCGAGGCCGCGGATACGGATACGTCTTTCGCCCACGAGCTCCATCGCTGCCTCACCGCTGCTGTCTGCAGCCATGCTCAGCAAGGCTCGGCAGGCCCCGACCAGGCGGAGTTCGGGCAGCGCTGGCCTCGAGCCGAGGTGACCACGGAGGACGTGCTCGCCAAAAAAGTCCAGGGCTTATGAGACAAACGCAGAAGCAGCAGAGCCCGTTCGGGTTGGAAGCGCTGACGCAAACCAGCGTTCCAGGCAAAGGCCATCGCAACATGCAGTAATGCCCACCACGCACAAGGCATGCGTAATCGTGCAACCACGCGGGCAAATGCTGGGCAAGCCGCATGGCCTACGAAATTCGCGCGGATCTCTGAATGTGTATGTCTATGGCATTGCTCCTTTTTCGGAGCATGGGGGAAGCGGGTCCTGAGGGAACGGGTCCTGCACCCTGGTGCCTTCTCTCAGGACGAGATTTTCATCCTGAGCCGTTTTCTACCAATTCTGGGACCCGTGGAGTGCCCCGAGAGCCCGAAATCGTCGAAAAACCGCAAGACCCGTTTCCCTCAGGACCTGTTTGCCCCATGGCGAATTTGCGACCGACTCTGGACAACTCGCGCCAAAAACCGACTGACGCCTCACTCTAACCCGTCGGTCGGAAGAGGTGGGTAGAAACATGAAGCAGGAAGGCGTTGGAAGTCTATTGGGCCTCCGCCCGCCCCCTGGAAAGGAGGAAGGACAAGGAACAAACACTCGATGATTCGGCGGCGAGCGAGGGGGGAAGTGAGAAGGAGTAGGTCGTGTCAGAAGGCGGCGGGACTTCTCAGATGCCATGGAGGCCTTCTGAGAAGGTTCCTGTGTCTTCGGGGAAGGCTTAGGAAACTTCTCAGAAGGCCGGAGAAGGCCTTCTCGTTTTCACTTCCACCCAAGCCTCGCCGCCGTTCTACTTCCAGTTGCTTCCGCCGACTCCCTCGGGGAAGGCGACGGGGCTCCTCCAGGGACCTCCTCGTCCTCCTTCTCTGCGCGGGCGTCTCGGCCACAGCTCCGCCGCCCTTTCTCTGGCGGACCCCCGCCCCCCCCGGCCGTCCGCGGAGGCCTCTCTGCCGAGGGCGAGGCGCGCCGAGAGTGCGAGGCCCTCGGAACATAAGCTGGAGGGGCCCAGGAGGGGAATACGTTAACAGGTATGAGTTTGAGGAGTCCCTACATGTGTCCACATGTCCTGGCTGCTCCTCTTCCCCTCCACATCACATGCTTTCCGGTATCTCCCTGGGCGTCGACGGTTGTGTGGGTGCTTGTGCCTCTGTTTTCCCCTTCTGGCCTCTGGAGCGAGCTATGCCCAGAGGTCCAGGGCAGTGTCTCTGTTTCCATGCGGGGCCGCAAGAAGTCCCGACCTGTTTCCCCAGGGCCAGCGTTTCGTCCAGAGTCGCTCTTTCACGGTCCCGGGACCCGGCGAGGGCCCCGCTGAGGCCAAAAATGGCGACGTTCGAAGTACGAAGCCAAAACTTCGACGTCGTGCCTTTTTAGCGACGTGGCTTGCAGGAGGTCGAGACCCCTTCCCTAGGACCAGCTTGGCATCCTGAAAAGTTCTTCACGCTCCCGAGGCCTTGCAAAGCCACCCAGAAACCGAAAACAACGAAAGAAATCCTATGCCTTGATTTTTCACTACCTAGGCGCTGCCTAGAAGGTTCTTACTTTGTTTGCTTAACGGGGCCGGGCAGTGTAGGCCGCCCCGGGCGGTTCCCCAGTCCCCGCCCCGCGGTTCCCCCAGTTGCGCCCCCTAGCTTTAGCTTTAGCTTTAGCTTCAGCTTTAGCTGTAAATTCAGCGTTAGCTTTAGCTTTATCTGTAGCTTAGCTTTAGCTTGAGCTTTAGCTTAAGCTTAGCTTAGCTATAGCTTAGCAGTAGCTTCGCTTTATTTTAGCTTTAGCTTAGCTTTAGCTTAGCTTTAGCTTAGCTTTAATTTAGCTTTAGCTTAGCTTTAGCTTAGCTGTAGCTTAGCTTTAGCTTAGCTGTAGCTTAGCTTTAGCTTAGCTTTAGCTTAGCTTTAGCTTAGCTGTAGCTTAGCTTTAGCTTAGAGTTAGCTTAGCTGTAGCCTAGCTTTAGGTTAGATGTGGCTTTTATTCAGCTTAGTTTTAGCTTAGCTGTAGCTTAGCTTTAGCTTAGCTGTAGCTTAGCTTTAGCTTAGCTTTAGCTTAGCTTTAGCTTAGCTTTACCGTTACTACTAATGCTTCTTTCCTAGGGGCTCCAACTCCTAGGTAGGGTCGCACTGGGATAATCACAACTCAAGGAAGCCAGACTGGACTACAGTCTCGTTCTGGCGATTTTCCTGGAAGCGCTCGCTCCACTCATGCGTCGCCATTGCGTCGAACGTCCGTCGATTTGCGTCGAACTGGACTTGATCTTGAGTTGAGCTAGAGTCGACCCAAAATCGAACGATTTTGGAACTAGAGTCGAAAATACCCGTTAAAAGGGGCTGCATGAAGGTACCCAGACGAATATCTAACGGCTGGATCTCGAGCCCTCGGAATGCGGGCGCGGCCGTGTACAGCTCCCTGGCGGCCGCGAGCGAGTGCAGCCTGAGCTCCGCGGCCTCCAGCGGCGCGCCGGCGACTCCGGCAGCACGGGCTGCCTCGATTGCCTTGGGGTTCGATGTGCCCGTTTTCAAATGTCTTATGTATGCTTCGCCGCGCAATGTTCACAAATCATGATATGGAGCTCCTGGCAAGACCCCGCCTGCAGGGTCGCACACGACAGGCGCGGTCAAGGGAAATGATGAATCCCCTTTCAGATTGCACGCGTTCAATAACATCACTTGGACAGAACCTGCTGCCTTTCCACCAGAAAGCTGGAGCGGCGCAGCACAGCAATATAACCTAACGCGCTGATTCCGCTTCTTTGCTCATGTGTGTGTGCGAACAAAGCTGTGTATCCAATTAGACTACGACTACGCCTACGACTACTACGGATACGACTAAGACTACGACTACGACTATGACTACGATAACGACTACGACTACTACGATTACTACTACTGCACCTACTACTACGACTACTACGACGACGACGACGACAACTACGACTTCTACTACTGCTTCTACTACTACTACTACTACTACTACTACTACTACTACTACTACTACTACTACTACTACTACGACTACTACGACGACTACTACTACAACTACTAGTACTAGTACTACTACTACTACTACTACTACTACTACTACTACTACTACTACGACTACTACTACTACTACTACTACTACTACTACTACTACTACTACTACTACTACTACTACTACTACTACTACTACTACTGCTACTACTACTACTACGCCTACTGCTACTACTACTACGTTTGAATATCATCGTGGTGATGCCCGCTACTGACGCCAACCCCGCCGCCCCTTCTCCCCCTGGTGAAGTCACGGTTCGCACCAGCGCTCGGGGAACTAGTTCCCAGACGGCGCAGGCGCAAATCGTGACGTTACGGGCCCCCCTTATCCGCTGCTCCCCCAATGGTTTCTGGCTTCAGGCCGAGATAAAATTAGCCTGGCGATTGACCCAACCATATGCAGTTGAGGGTACCGCAATTGTGAATATCTTCTTCGGTGGCGCTCCCTATGGGGCCACGAGCCGTATGAGGGGTGTGCCGATATGCGTGGCAGTGTACACAACACGAACGAAGACGATAGGTCCGAATATGAAAGCTTGAGCGCGTGCGAGTCGGATCGCGAGCGAGTCTGATTATGAATGAATCTGCGCGCGATTGATTCTATTCGCATGAATGCGTGCATGGATACGCCCAGTGTAAATGTATGTATACGACTGTGAACAGTTTGGGTCTGCGTGACTCTCGGTACTCGTGACTCTGAGCGTCGCCTCTGCAGGGGGCTTCCCTGGGAACCCCGACGGCAGCGCCCGCGCGCCGCGACGCCCATGTCGGCACGCCACACACCTGGTGTGCGGGACGCATGCGGACGGCAGCACTGGGGCCTTCGGTGGAGCTCCCTGTGGGGCCACGAAACGTGTGAGGGGTGTGCCGAAATGGGTGTGCGGGACGCATGCGGACGGCAGCCATGGGGCCTTCGGTGGAGCTCCCTATGGGGCCACGAAACGTGTGAGGGGTGTGCCGAAATGGGTGTGGACGCATGCGGACGGCAGCACTGGGGCCTTCGGTGGAGCTCCCTGTGGGGCCACGAAACGTGTGAGGGGTGTGCCGAAATGGGTGTGCGGGACGCATGCGGACGGCAGCCATGGGGCCTTCGGTGGAGCTCCCTATGGGGCCACGAAACGTGTGAGGGGTGTGCCGAAATGGGTGTGCGGGACGCATGCGGACGGCAGCACTGGGGCCTTCGGTGGAGCTCCCTGTGGGGCCACGAAACGTGTGAGGGGTGTGCCGAAATGGGTGTGCGGGACGCATGCGGACGGCAGCCATGGGCCTTCGGTGGAGCTCCCTATGGGGCCACGAAACGTGTGAGGGGTGTGCCGAAATGGGTGTGCGGGACGCATGCGGACGGCAGCACTGGGGCCTTCGGTGGAGCTCCCTGTGGGGCCACGAAACGTGTGAGGGGTGTGCCGAAATGGGTGTGCGGGACGCATGCGGACGGCAGCCATGGGGCCTTCGGTGGAGCTCCCTATGGGGCCACGAAACGTGTGAGGGGTGTGCCGAAATGGGTGTGCGGGACGCATGCGGACGGCAGCACTGGGGCCTTCGGTGGAGCTCCCTGTGGGGCCACGAAACGTGTGAGGGGTGTGCCGAAATGGGTGTGCGGGACGCATGCGGACGGCAGCCATGGGGCCTTCGGTGGAGCTCCCTATGGGGCCACGTGTGAAACGTGTGGACGAAATGGGTGTGCCTTGACGAGCATGCTGTGGGGCCTTCGGTGGAGCTCCCTATGGGGCCACGAAACGTGTGAGGGGTGTGCCGAAATGGTGTGCGGGACGCATGCGGACGGCAGCACTGGGGCCTTCGGTGGAGCTCCCTATGGGGCCACGAAACGTGTGAGGGGTGTGCCGAAATGGGTGTGCGGGACGCATGCGGACGGCAGCACTGGGGCCTTCGGTGGAGCTCCCTGTGGGGCCACGAAACGTGTGAGGGGTGTGCCGAAATGGGTGTGCGGGACGCATGCGGACGGCAGCCATGGGGCCTTCGGTGGAGCTCCCTGTGGGGCCACGAAACGTGTGAGGGGTGTGCCGAAATGGGTGTGCGGGACGCATGCGGACGGCAGCACTGGGGCCTTCGGTGGAGCTCCCTGTGGGGCCACGAAACGTGTGAGGGGTGTGCCGAAATGGGTGTGCGGGACGCATGCGGACGGCAGCCATGGGGCCTTCGGTGGAGCTCCCTGTGGGGCCACGAAACGTGTGAGGGGTGTGCCGAAATGGGTGTGCGGGACGCATGCGGACGGCAGCCATGGGGCCTTCGGTGGAGCTCCCTGTGGGGCCACGAAACGTGTGAGGGGTGTGCCGAAATGGGTGTGCGGGACGCATGCGGACGGCAGAGGAGAGGAGAGAGGAGGAGAGGAGGTGGGACGCGGGGCGCTGTCTCTTCAAAACGAGGACCCAACACCACAGGATGGTTGGGAAAAACAAGGGTCGGACAAGTCGATCCGCCAAGGGGTCTGGCCCTCCCGCCGCCCCCGCCTTCCCGCCCTGCTGCCCCTTCCCAAAAGCTCTGGCGGGCCTGAGGGGAAACATGGCGGGGACTGGCTCAGCTTGGCCGACAGATCGCCGATAGATCGCAGATACATGGTCGATAGATCGGCGGTAAGCACCCGATAGCGAAGCCGCACGTCCCCGGGCCGGGTGGGCTAGCGGTCCCTTCTATCGGCGATGAGTGTGCGATTGGGAGTCGATGCGTTCCCCCGTGAGCGAATCCCCCCCGAAAGTTGCCCCCTGGTTTTCGGGTCATAACTCGGCCCTCTGGCGGCCGTTCGAGACCCAGCACGCTCTCGGCGAGTTGCAGCCGCTGGAGGGCACCCCGAGGCTGGAAACCCGCTGCAAGCCGACAAAAGCGCCTGAAAACCTCAAGCCTCGAAGCATATCCCTCCCTCTAACGCTGCCCCTGACGCGCTCTGGCGGGCCCCCTCGAGCAGGGAGGAGAATCCCAGCGGCTAGTTCGCGCGGGATAATTAGATACTCGCGCGCCGCCACGTGCTCACACGGCACGGGGGCCGACCCCCCCCGCGGACAAGTTGTGCCCGACCGTCCCCCTTTGCGCGCAGAGGCAGCCTCAATGGAGTCCGAGTAAAGAGGGTCGGAGGCTCGCGCCGCATTGCCTGTGCACCGCCGATGCATCAGCGACGTCGGCGACGCAGCGGCGCCGTCGGCGTGGAGAAAGTCGGGTCCCACACGGTACCGCATCGCCGACGCACCGGCGATGCGGCACGATCCTCTGACCCATCTGCACGCTCCAGCTTGACCGGGGGGGACGAGGAGAGGAGGACGAGGGGGACGAGGAGAGGAGGAGGAGGAGGAGGAGGAGGAGGAGGAGGAGGAGGAGCAGCAGGAAGCTCTGGACACCTCGGGAGGCCTCCGGAGAACCCGCCTCCTCGTCCGACCGCCCCCGTTCGCCGAGCCGCGGCGCGCGCGCCGCGCGCGAAAAGGGCGTCCTGGCTCAGCCCCTCCTCCAGGCTCGGGTCCGCTCCGGCGGCCGCGGCGGCCGCATCCAGCGCTCTCCTCGGCGGCTGCGCCGCCGTGGTCGTCGCCGTCGACGGCGCCGCCGCCGTCGAGGATGCTTTGAGAGATTGATCAAGAGTGGTGCGGTGCGGGACTTGTACCCACGCCCACCGCCTGGGGACTGATCCCCACGCCGGTGGATGTGGATAAATCCCCGCCTACGGTGTAGGCGTTTTTTAGATGGCCTTCGGGGGATCTTGGACACTGCAAGAGGGCCTCGGAGTTTAACGGAGGCACCCAGAGTCTCTCGGGCCTCGTCGCCGTCGACCTCGTCCTCGTCCTCGTCGTCGTCGAGGGGATGGAGGAGAGGAAGGATGCGAGAGGAGAGGGGCCAGCGGGTTAGACCTCCTGAGCACGCGCTTCGCGCTAGCCCGAGAACGATGGCGGAACTGCACTCTTGCTCTCGCGCCGCCCTCTGGAGATGCACACCTGGCCGGCCTGGGCCTGGGCCGCGAGGCGCGAGATCTGTGCTCGTACCGCACCTCTATCCCTATCCCTAAGATGCCAAGCCAAAAGGCGATGGCAGTGTCAGGGATGCGATCTCAGAAGTTGGGGGGAACCCTAAGATCGGTATCGAGACAAGGCGATGCCAGGCATAGGGATATGTTTCAGGCTGGTCAACCTATGCGAGCGTCCTGGCGGAGATGAGGAGCGGATCGGTTCGGATCGGAATGTGCATCGGATCGGGCCATATCGACACGGAGTCGGAATCGAGCCGGATCGGCCGCAACAATATGCAGCGGCACCAGATGCAGATGCATCCTATATGCCCTGTGGCAGGGACGAGATGCTAAGGTAAGGTATGGTGTGATATGGCAACAGGGCAACGGCAATCAAAACAACTTAGAGATAAGGCCAATGCACTTGCAGCACACAGTAAGAGTGGCAAAGGTACCAGGAATAGCACGGCAGTTGAAATAACAATTTCGCGGACAATCCAGGTGGTCATGGCAACAGCCACCGTAGTAGTGATGGCTGTGGGAATGAAACTTGTCATGGCGCGGTGCGGCATGGTAAGGTACGGTACGATACGATGTGACTCGACACTTTGCATGTGCACGTCCAGGATACCACACAAGCCGCCATGAATTCATACTTGAAACGAGTTCGTTGACACTCACGAGCGAGTTTACGCACGGCGTGTGCATCTGCGGCAGTCCTCATGGTAAGGTCGATCTATGTAATATGAAGTTTACATGCTGCATTGCACAAGAAACCAGAAGAGTAAAACTGAGCCATCAATGAAACAATACAACCCGCCCCAAATATACCGACCTGGCAGAGCATTGGCTCTGGCAGGCTTGCATAATGCACTTTGCTGCTTCCTTGCGTGCCCTCATTCGCACAGACATCGCTCAGCAAAGAACAGATCTGGCCCCACCTGTCCGACCTGCCCCCCTCTTGGTGGAGACAGCTGCCATCTCCGTAGGGCCTCGCGGCATCCGACCATTACACCTCGAGGTGATAGGCTGGTGGCCCCCTGTAGAGGACACCCCGATGGGGTCCGAGCAGATGGGGTCCGGAGGATCGCGCCGCCTCGCCGAAGCACCACCGATGTATATAGCGGCAATGCGTCGGCGATACATCCGCGACGTCGGCGATGCATCCGCGCCAACGGCGTGGAGAAGTTCTGGATCCACATCGACCCGCATCGTCGATGCATCGGCGATGACGAGCGATCCTTCGACCCCATCTACCCGACGCAGACAGATATGCCGCCGCTGCCGACGACGACGACGACGACGACGACGACGACGACGGTCGCGGCGACGACCAGCACAGCGACGGCCGCGACGACCACGCACAGACGGCGTCGGCCGCGGCGTCGAAGACGAACACGAGGACGACAACAACGACGACTACGACGCTGACGACGACGCTCACGACGCTGACGACGCTGACGACGACGACGACGACCGCGGAGGCTGGGGCCGCCTGAACGAGTGCCGCCGCAGCGCTTCGGCGCCCCTTTCCACGATGGCCGCCTCCACGCCGGCCTCCCTGGCGCGCGGGACCGCGGCCTCCACGGGGGCGCGCGAGGCGCCGCCGTCGCCGTCGCCGCCGTCAGCGCCGCCATCCGTCGGCAGCGTCAATGTCGTCATCGTCCTTGACGTAGTCGTCGTCGTCGCCATCGTCGTCGTCGTAGTCGTAGTCGTCGTCGTCTTTGTCGTCGATTCGTCGTCAACGGCGAGAGCGCCGTCGTCGCCGTCGTCGTCGTCGTCGCCACCGGCGTCGTGGTCGTCGGCGTGGTCAACGACGTCACCTCGGAGTCGTGGCCAGAGGCGGAGGCGGTGGACAAGAGCGGGAGAACAAGAGGGAAAGAGAGAAAGAGAGAGAGAGAGGTATACGTAGCACCCGCAGTCGTGGTTAAGAATGAGGGGGCGGCGGCGACGCCTGCAGTCTGCGAGGCTCTGAAGAAGCCCGCCGCAGGCGCCTCATTCTTACTAATTATATAACGAGCCCGCCGCAGGCGCCGTGTTTTCGTGAAAGCAATGTGGGTGGGTCGCGGGGTGGGTCGCGGGTGGGTCGCTGGTGGGTCGCGGGTGGGTCGCAGGTGGGTCGCGGATGGGTCGCGGGCGGGTCGCGGGTTGGGTCGCGGGTGGGTGGCGGGTGGGTGGCGGGTGGATCGCAAGGTGGGTCGCGGGTAGGTCGCGGGCCGGGTCGCGGGGTGGGTCGCGGGTGGGGCGTGAGTGGGTCGCAGGCGGGTCGCAGGGTGGGTGGCGGGTGGGTCGCGGGCCGGGTCGCGGGGGGGACGACGTCAAACAACAACAACAACAACAACAACAACAACAACAACAACAACAACATCAACAACAACAACAACAAACAACAAACAACAAGCAACAAGCAACAAGCAACAAGCAACAAACAACAAACAACAAACAACAAACAACAAACAACAAACAACAAACAACAAACAACAAACAACAAACAACAAACAACAAACAACAAACAACAAACAACAAACAACAACAACAACAACAACAACAACAACAACACCAACACCAACAACAACAACGACCAGCAAACAAACAACACGCAACAAGCAACGAACACACAACACACAATAATCAACAAACAACAAACAACAAACATCAAGCAGCACACAAGAAACAACACACAACAAACAACACCAACAACAAACACCAAACAACAACACCAACCACAACAACAAAAGCCAACAACCAACAGCCAACAACCAACAGCCAACAACAACAACAACAACAACAACAACAGCAGCAGCAGCAGCAGCAGCAACAATGACCCGCATCGCGGAATCCCACTTCAGCAACGCGCCCAGGGACAGTGAATGACCGTTCGGCCCCCTCACTCTGATATATCTAGAGAGCGAGAGATACTTGTATCTATATATGTATAGAGAGAGATGCGAGAGAGGGCGAGAAAGAGAGAGAGAGAGAGAGAGACCAAAAGAGCGAGAGAGAGAGAGAGAGCGAGAGAGATAATTAGAGAGAAAATAAAATAATACAGAGACAGACAGAGACAGAACTCACAAACAAACAAGAACAACAAAATGGGAGAGTGGACAAGGAGGAGGGAGGATGAGGAGAGGCAGGAGGCGGGGAGAGGAGGAGAGGAGAGACCAGTAGCGGAGAGGCGGAGGGGCGAATGATGAGGAGCAGCAGCAGGATTGGAGGAGGAAGTCCACGCCTTGGGGAAACCACAAGCCACCGCTACCTCTGATCCCCGGACCTCTCTCGGGGCGCACTCGGACCAGGATCGTTTTTTTCCCAAGTCAAACGCAGCTCCCCTCACGCGTCATCACGCCTCAATGGGAAACGGCGTGCACTGCCACAACACATCGTCCCCCCCACGGCAGCGCTGAGCAAGCCTGCTGCCCGCGGTCAGAGCGCTTGCGCTGGCTAGCGCTCTGACTAGAATCTCGAGGCGAACCCTGCCGTGGCGGCGAGGGCCTCCCAGGAGGCCCCCAAAAGGGCGAACACGAGGCAAAGAGTAGCGGTGTCGCTACCTCCGCCTCCTCGAACCCCCCTCCCCGCGATCCTCCAGCAGGGCCCCGTCCTCGCTGCCGATCGCGTCGGCGAGCTCCCTGCCCGCCGCCAGCCTGCCGAGCACCCGCTCGGCCTCGCGCGCGCGCGGAGGTGCTGCGGCCCCGGAGGGGCCGGCTGTGCACACACGGCACGGCCTGCCCCGAGCGGCTGCGACACCGCGGGCTCGAAGGAGCCGGCTGCTCCCTGCTCCCTGGGTGCACCCGCAGACTTGTTTTTTCCTTTGTTTCCGCAACGAACCTTTTGGAGAGGGGGGAAGGGGGGAAGGGGGAGAGACGCGGACAGCCGATGATGAACACAGCACTTGTCTCGGCTACTTCGATTGCCGGGGCCCCGCCAGAAGCGGGCGCACTGCGGCCAGCAGCAGATCAATGTAGCATGGTGGGACGCCCTGCGCCGAAACAAACAACTGTCATGGATGGCAGACTGACTCATACGCCCACGTGCGGTAGCGTCGACCTAAAAACGGCCAAACTGCGCCTTTTAATTTCAAAAAAAACTCGTGCGTGCGTACCCCTTACCGGCGACCAGTAACGACGGGACCCGCACAAGCGCTCCAACGCGAGTTTGGACAGGGCAGCAGAGAGCAGAGGAAGAAGGAGAAAGCAAAGAGCAAGGAGAGGGGAGCATTCCATACCAGATCACAGCCGGAGGCTCCACTGACAGACCAATCAAAAGTTACAGTGCTACAGTGCACTATACAGGCAAATGAAATGTGGCTACGGGGCGAAGAAACCGAAGCCACGCAGCGCGGCTGACTGGAAGGACAGGCGCCTTCATGGGTGGCCCTCGCCCACCTTGCATACGATGAGCGGCATCCACCGAACACTGGCCAGGGAGCCAGGAGCCGGGTGTACCCGCAGACCAGATCCTCCTCCTCCTCCTCCTTATTATTATCATCGTCGTCACCATCATCCTCATCATCAACAACAACATCATCTTCATCATCAGCAGCACTTCCGTTACCAACAGCATAACCATCGTTATCATCAGCATCACCATCATCACCACAACCGTCAGCAAAATCACCCTTAGCATCATCATCATCATCTTCCACACCATCCGCACCCTTATCAGTATCATCCGCATCATCAGCGTCACCATCAGCGCCAAACTTGGCTCGTAGAGCTCCCCTAAGAGCGTTAGCGGCGAAGCTAGAAAAGTAATTCCGGCGCGCTGGGGGGCTAGCTGGCAAAAAGAATCTCGACGGAAGTTTTGCATAATTTTGCTCGGTTTAAATTCGATTTCTCGGAATTCAACCATTCGTTAGAGCTCTAGTATGTCCCCCCCCATTTTCGATCTTATTCCCGCTCGCCATATTAATCTCAGGTCGATCGGGTACATACCACTGCCAAAAAGCACTTCGGCGGGATCGGCTGTTTAGTGTCATCTTGGCAGGTCCTGCCGGCTTTCTTAACTTAGCTCGAGCTGTAGGAGACCTACAGAGCTGGCAAGCACAGCTGAAGCACCTAGAATATTCAAGCGCGCTCGTCTAAAATATTCAGATGTCTGAACTCGGTCTGCTACCAGAGCTGGGTCCGCGAAACTATTCGTACTCTGTTAATTGTTGGGAAGATGATGATCAGTTTACTGACTGAACTCGAACTGCAGGTGAGCTACAAAACTGTTCGTCACAACAATCGAAAGACCATCATCAGGCGCGCTGGTCTAAAGTATCTAGAGGTCGGAACCCGGTCTGCTACCAGGGTTGGGTCCGCGAAACTATTCGTACTCTGCTTCTTTTTAAAGATGGTGATGAGTTTCTTGACCTAACTCGAGCTGCAGATGAGCTACAGAGCTGTCCGGCACAGAAATCGAAATATCATCCTTAGGCGCGCTAGTCTAAACTATCTGGAGGTCTGAACTCGGTCTGCTACCAGAGCTGGGTCCGCGAAATTAGTCGTACGCTGCTAATTTTTTAAAGATGATAATGAGTTTCTTGGCTCAACTCGAGCTGGAGATGAGCTACCGAGCTGTTAGGCACAGCAATCGAAAGACTATCATCGGGCGCGCTAGTCTAAAGTATCTAGATGCCTGAACTCGGTCTGCTACGGTCCGAAAAACAAGTGGGACGCTGCATTTTTTTCGAGATGGTGATGGTTTACTTGACTGAACTGGAGCTGGACATGAGCTACAGACCTGTTTGTCACAACAGTCGAAAGGAAACATTCCGACGCGCTAGACCAGAGTATCCAGACGCCCCAACTCGGTCTGATACCAGAGCTGGGTCCAAAACTATTCGTACTCTGCTAAATGTTTAGAGAGATGATGGTAACTTTCTTCAGATAACTCGACATGCGGATGAGCTACAGACCTGTCTGGCACAGCAACCGGAAGGAAATCATCAGGCGCGCTCGTCTCAAGTATCCAGATGCCCGAACTCGTCACGCTTCCAGAGTTAGAACCAGAAAACTACTGGTACTCTACTGTTTTTTCTCAGAGATAACGATGCCTTTCTTGATCCTTCCCGTCCTTCTGCTCCTTATGCTCCTCCTCCTCCTCCTCCTCCTCTTCCTTCTCTTCCCTGCCCTCCTCCATCCCATTTCTCCTTACTCCTTCTTCTCCTCTAGTTCTCCTCCATGAAACCGCACCCTCGCGCGCGCGGAATGCGAGATTGCCGCGCCCGCATTGCACGAGGAAGCTCTACGAGTTCCCGGCGGTAACCTAGGTTGACGGTTTACCGCCGGCTCCCAGTCCCATATCCATAATCATCCGCCTCATCATCGACATCATCATAAACAGCATCTGCTGAATCAGCATCATCATCGCCATCACCATCAGCATCATCAACAGCACCGCTAGCATCGTCCTCATAATCCGCAGCATCGTCATCATCATCACCATCACCATTATCGTCATCAGCATCAACAACATCAAAATAATAATCGTCATGTTCATCATCATCATCATCATTATCATCATCATCATCATCATCATCATCATCATCATCATCGGCACCTGCATCATCATCATCACCATCCTCCTCATCATCATCATCCACGTCACCATCATCAGCAGCATCATCGTCAGCATCAGCAGCAGCAACCTCATCATCATCATCATCATCATCATCATCATCATCATCATCATCATCATCAACATCATCATCACCAACACCATTATCCTTGTCGTCAGTGTCATCCAAAGTTCTCATCCGTAGCCTCCTCCGCGGCCTCATCAACTCCATCACCAGAACATCATCAAGACCATCCGCCTCCTCCTCTGTCTCATCCTCCTCTGTCCCATCCGCATCCTCATCCTCATCCTCATCATCATCATCCTCATCATCATCATCATCACCGTCGTCATCCTCACCATTCATCAGCATCTTCATCATGATGATGAATATCATCATCACCATCATCATCACCGTCACCATCATCATCAGCATCATCATAAAGGTCACCAGCATCATCATCAGCATCATCGTTATCAGAAGCATTCTGCATCATCAGCAGCAACACCATCAGCATCATCACCGTCGTCATCATCATGTTCACTTGCATTACAATCATCACCATCAGTATCGAAATCAGCACCATCGTCATCATCAGCATCATCATACAGACGTACGTACGTACGTACATACATACATGCATGCATGCATGCATACACCCATACATACATAACTGTATACACATACATACATACATACATACATACGTACGTACGTACGTACGTACATACATACATACATACATACATACATACATGCATGCATGCATGCATGCATACATACATACATACATACATGCATACGAACATACATGCATACATGCATGCATGCATGCCGGCATGCATACATACATACATACATACATACATACATACCATCATCGTCCAGATCATTCGCATCATCAGCTTAGTCCTCATCATCATCATCATCATCATCAGCAGCAGCATCATCATCATCATCATCATCGTCATCAGTATCATCATCATGCTCACCATCAACAGCATCATCATCGTCCTCGCCATTATCATCCTCGTCCTCCTCCTCATCATCATTACGGTCATCCTCCTCGTCCTCCCCACCCTCCCCCCCTTTATCCTCCTCCTCCTTGCATTCGTTCTGCGCTCGCAGCTGCTCCCCGTCCTCCTCCTCGCTCCTGCTGGTAAGCTTTGCCTTCGGACCTCGAGGATCAGGGGGATGGTGCTCGGACGCTCACGGTACAGTGCTTGTGCGCTTCGGGCCTTGAGCCAGGCTTGCTGCAATTCGAGCCGTCGTTTCGCTGGGCTTCTGACAGCGGAGCCGCCCTCGTTTTACGTCCGCCGGCGTTCACTCAGGGTGAGGCTCCGAGATCCGACCACGTGACAAGACGACGACGTCGTGAGAAGACACGGCCAGGCTTCTTGACCACCAGCACTCTTGACCAGCAAGCTCCCCACCAGCACTGTCGCGCTGGACCTGATGAGGAGGTGAAAGGAGAATAATGGAGGCCTCCCATCTGGGGCCAAAGGAGATTGTGTCGGAGGGTCGCGCAACATTGCCAAGAGATCTGCGTGCGGTGCGTGGGCGGCGGGATAAAAAGAACAGGCTGCGGACCGAACCGCGTAGACGATGCATCGAAGATGCGGCGCGATCCTCCGACCCCGTTTCCTCTGGCCTTTGCGCGGACTGACAAGGAGGAGAACGAGGAGGAGGACGAGAAGGAGGAGGACGAGGAGGCGAAGGACGAGGAGGAGGAGGAGGAGGAGGAGGACAGTAAATAGAAGAATGCAGTGCGACTGGGTGAGAGCGCCGACCAGAGGCAATCGAAACTGGAAAACGACGGGCCTGGTGTTCGTGGCGACTCGGGGCGCGCACAAGCATCTGCCAGAGCCAGAAGGAGGAGAAAGGGGGAGGAGGAGGTTTTGTTCGGTCCGGTCGCAGGCGCGAGTCACGCTCGCGACTGCGGGTGCCGCTTCCATGGGAAATGACAGCCGAGGGAAGGACGATACGATACAATTGCAATGGGAGCCTCTTCGTCTGATGTTCAAGCATGCGAGGATCTGTGGAACATAGACTTGAACATGGAAGTTGGCGAATCCCAGCAAAGAGAAGTTGAACCGCGAGCTCACAACAGTTTTGGCCCTATGCTGCAAAACCTTGCCCTCCTCTCAACACCTCGAGACGTGGCCCGGCGGCGGCCACATAGCCGGCAGGCTACAAGGAACCCACGTAAGCGGGGAAGATCCAGCAGGGGACCCAACTAGCACCAGCAGCTCAGGGGAGGAGGAAGAGGTGGAGAACATGAGAGGAGGAAGAGGGGGGTGGAGAGGGAGAAGGCTGAGGTTCAAGCTGAGCAGGCCTTAGGGCTTCGACCATCTCTCACCATGTGTTTGAGGCAGGGAAGGACACGCAAGGCGCGCCTCCTTGAGCGCCACCGGCCTCGCGCCCGCCTCGCGGGCCTTCGCGATGGCCTGGCCGGGGCAGCGCGGCGGCCGCGGCGGCAGGGGCAGCGGCGGCGGCAGCGGTGGCAGCCGCGGCGGTGGCGGCAGCGGTGGCAGCGGCGGGCGGGGGCGGCAGCGGCGGCGGCAGCGGCGGCGGCAGCTGACGGGAGCGGCGGTTGAGGTGAGGAGAAACAGGATGACGCAGGGCAGCAGTTCCCACTATTCTGCTGGTCTCGCTGCGCCCCCGCCTCTCATGTCGCCACCCCATAGAAACAGACACGAACGCACGCGTCCGCCGCAAGGCTGTGTGCTGTTCCCCCCCTTGCAAGAGCCGAGGGCAGCGCCGAGCGCGCAGCCCGAAGGGCGGGAAAGAGCTGGCGCAAGGGAAACGTCCCGCCCGCCCTCCCTCCTCCAGCCCTTGAGGGCGACGAGGGCTGCTCGCCGGCTCCCCTATCTGAACACACGCGCACGCGCATCAACAAAACCAGGGTGTACCAGATGGTGCTCTCCCGAATGAGGGTGGGGCCTCTGGAAGGCGCTGGCCTTGTTCATTCTTTCTGCGAGGGAACCGGCATCTTCAACCGAAACCACGCGCACACGCAACGTCAGATTTGCAAACGCAGGACATGACATGGCAACGTCACATGACAACGGGTGCGTGTCGCGATACCTCGTGGAGGGCTCTCGCGGACCTTTGGGGGTGACGTTTTGGGAGGCTCTGGGGCCCTCTTAGGGGGGGGGGGGGCCCTGCAAAAACTCGGGCCAATCGGGTGAGGGCCCGGGTCGTCGGGTGGGTTCTGGGGCAGTCTCTGGAAGTCTGTCTGAGTCTTTCTGCGCGGTCCGGGATTCCTGGGGCCGATTTGGGCAAGACTCAGGCCTCCCTGGAGCTGTCTTGGGCAAATCCCAGGCAATCCTGGGGGCCATCGTGGGGACTTGATTCTGACTCTTGGGCAATTGAGCCAACTTGGGGCCAGCCGCAGATTCCAGGCATGCTGGAGGAGGCAGAGGGTGGGAAGGAGGAAAGAGGGAGAAGAAGATGGGGACGCAGGATGGAGGAGGAGGGGGCAACCAGGAGGACAAGAAGGAGGGGAAGAAGGAGGAGGAGGCAGCAGGGAGTAGAGATGAGAGAGGAGGGAGGACGAAGACAACGACGAGGACGCAAACGACGACGACGACGGCGACGGCGACGACGACGACTAGGAGGACGACTACGACGACGACGACGACGACGACGACGACGACGACGAGGACGACGACGAGGACGTCAACTTCGAGGATGACGACGACGACGACGACGACGACGACGACGACGACGACGACGACGACTAGGAAGACGACGACAACGACGACGAGGACGAGGAGGACGAGGAGGACGACGACGACAAGGACGAGGACGGGGACGACGAGGACGAGGACGAAAACGACTACGACGGCGACGAGGATGAGGACGAGGACGAGGACGAGGACGACGAGGACGACGACGGCCGCATCACGACGACGGCAGCACCACGGCGGCGGCGGCGGCGACGATGCGGGCGCCCGGCCTGCTGCAGCGAGCCCTCGTCCCTCTTGCCCAGCGCCGCTCGCAGCTCCGTCTCCGCGGCCCCCTCCGCGCACACCTCGCGCTGCGTCAGGAGCAACGTCAGGGGAGGCAGACTCGAGGTCCGAGGTTCGATGTTTTCGCGGCGGGTTTTCCAGCCCCAGGATGGCTTCCAGCAGCTGCGCCTCGCCGAGGGTGTTTGGGGGGTGCCCGGATCGTCCCAAATCGCCGCCAGAGAGCCGAGTTATGGCCCGACAACCACAAGGACAACGAAGGGGGGACTGGCTCAGAGGGGGGGCGCATCGACCCCCTATCGCCCACTTGCCCCAACTCTTGGGCCCCTTTGCACATCGTTGAACCGATCCTTTTCCCAAAAGGCGCGGCCTTGCCCCCACCAGCCGACTTACCCCCCTGAATGGGAATACATGTTGTTCTCGTCGGGTTTCGCGTGGCCTATCCCCACCTGGGGGGGAGGCTGGTGGGGCTGAGATACTACTGCTGAGTGGGATGGGGATAGGTCAAACGATGCCGACCATCCAAGCATTTCCGGCTTGTGCCTGGGACCCTCTAGAGACCCGCAGGACGCCTCGTTCATGCGCGCTGCGGTCGCAGGCCATGGGTGTTTACGCTTCCTGGCCCCGTGGGCCGGTAATTGCTGCATGTGAAATTGGCAACGCGCAACGTGCGCGTGCAAACGCACGCGCACGCGCGTGCGCTGCCAGCGCGTGTGCAGGTTCGCGTCGTGTCGACACCGGCGTTGGTTCCTGACACCGCGGGGATCGTTCAACCTTGAACGATCGGACGTTTTCGAAACGTCAGATCGTTCAACATCGAACGATTCTGGGTCGCTGGCGGCGTTCAGCGATGAAAGCCGGTGGCGGGGTCGCCAGTGGCCGACACTACGCGAACCTACCCTGTGTGCATGTACCCGTGCACGCCCACGTGCAATGGGAGAGCGTGGGCCTCCTCGGTGGACGTCATCCCCAAAGTGGGGGATAGAGTGTTATGAAGAAAATCTTGGAGGCCTCGCGCGGCAACTTGAGACCCGATTTGCGTCGGATCTACGTCGGATTTACGTCGGATTCACGTTGGACTACGTCGGATTTATGTCGGATTTACGTCGGACCGACTCCTGAGCATCGCCGCGCGAGCGTCGACCCATAGCTTACGGAACTGACAAGTGGACTAGATCATACTACTATTACGCTCCGCGCGAGGCCTCCAGGATTTTCCTCATAAAGAGTGTGATGAGCGGGCCGGCAACACCACATCGCCCGCTGGCCTGACCGGAGCCAACCGCCAACCGTGAGCCTAAACGGTCGGAGGTCCGCGCGGGCTTCCTGAATCGGCGCTGCATTTCCCCCCCCCCCCCCCTCTGTCGAGCAGAGCGCGCCAGGGGCGGTGCCGGACGCGCCGCCATGGCGGTCCAGGGGCGGTGCCGGAAGCGCCGCCATGGCGGTCCAGCGCCGACGCAGGAAATCCGCGCGGAGCTCCGAAGGCTAGCGTTTGCGCACGATGCTTCTTCCTTTCCTTCTTCATCCTCTTCTTCTTCGTCGACGGGCAGCGTCGGAGAAAGAGGGAAGAGCGTGCGTGCTCCCGTGGCCAGACCTGCTTGAGCACCTTCTCGCCATCCTCGATCATGCTGGGGGTCACCCCCGCCTCCCTGGCCTTCTCCAGGGCCCTCTGCAGCTGCGCCTCCTTCCTGCGAGCGGCGCCGGGCTGTGCTGGGCCGATGGGCTGTCTCGCCCGTCCCACTCTCGCAGCTTCTCCTCAGTTCTCCGACACGCCGTCCTCCCCGTCCGCCTCCCCGCATCTCCCCCTCCCGCCCAGGTCACAACGGACCGCATGCCCTCCCCGATCAGCTCCTCATGACCCTCCTCCCCCTCCTTGCTCCCCATCATCGTATTCACTTCCATCTCATCCTTGTACTCTTCCTTCGCCTCCTCCTCCTCCTCATCCTCCAGAAGAGCCGCTCGGGGGGCCCGAAGACGGGACTAGAGAGGGTGGTAGAAGCCCAGCTCAGCAGGCGCCGAAGGTAAGCCAGCCGCAGCCACTAGAGCAGCTCAGCAGCCCTCAGCCGCCAGAAGTTGCGGGCCTCGCGAGCGCCTCCTCAGGACCAGCGACAGGCCCCCCTCAGTCCCGCCGCACACCAGAGAGGAACAACTAGCGATGCAGATCAGCAGCGACCTCGAGCGATACACGATACTAAGAGACAAAGCGTCACGATGTGGGGGCCACATGGCCGAAATACTACGCATGGCTACTTACTATCGGGAACAGCGCTCGAGGGAATACTATCAGGTCGTGAAACCATAATGAGATAAGGTTGGGCACATCATCTGCCAACCTACTCTCAGATATACGGTCTAATCACTCCCCCCACACTACTACCTCCATCACTCTTAGGCGCAAGGGCCCCAGTTGCAGGACTAGACAGACAATTATTGGAAATAGGATCTCACGGCAACAGTATGTGTACGAGTACGAGGGGACCTACTACATACGGTAACCACTGTGTGTCGACGGCGGACCGACATCGGTGACACACCCACCAGAGGGGGGAAATAAGGGGCCCCACAGGGACAGCCACTATGTAGCCTCGGGAGATACAAGAGAAGCCGTACCAAGACCAATCAGGACATTAAGCACCAGGAGTTGGAACGGACAGGAATCTCATCTCAGCGTTACCCAGACTTTCCGCCTCCTCCCACAACCACCGACACAACTACGGTCCCACACCTGCTCCCTCCCACTACGTTGTGCTCCCCAGCCAAGGGTAACAACCAGGCCAGGCCATGAGCAATGCGACAGGCTCCGACTCCAACCCCACCAGGTCCGCCTCCCACCGCAGCCTCTTCTTCTCGACCAGAGTTTGCGGCGTCGTCCCCGCGTGGGACCACAACTGGAGCTACTACCGACACCGCGGCCAGCTGGCATGGCGCAGCAGCGCAGCCCAACAGCCTGGTCGGCGGCCGCGGCGGCCGAGCCCAACTCCCCAGCGCAGGGGACGGCGATGGGCATGGGAGAGGTGGCGATCCAGAAACCATCTGAGCGTGGAGGCGGACAAAGTGACCAGGTCTTCGGAACCGTGCAGTACCGGCTGGAGGAGTGCCACAAGACGCTGCAGAGCACCAGTGCGAAGTACGACATCATCCAGCACAACCAGATGGCAGTACACGGCCTGTACAAGCAGCAGGAGCGCATCACGATGAGCCTCACGAGGATCACGGCTAGCAGGAGCCCGAAACACTACGAGGAGATCGAGAGGACCCACGTGGCGGAACTACTACGGCAGCAGTTGCAAGGCCATCGAGCACTGCCGAGGGGTCGAGATCACTCTCAGCAACCAGAGTCGGCACCAGCAGGGGCCTTTCCTAACGAGAGGCTCCAGATTGATGAGCTCGAGGACTGCTACACCAAGTGGACGGAGAGCAGCCACAGATGGGGCTATGACGAGGTGAAGACGGTGAACCAGAGCGGGCTCAGCAGCCTGCAGCAGGCGCACGACAGCACCAAGCAGAAGCGCCCCAAGTGCTTCTCGCCCAACAAGGGCATCCAGGGGTGGAAGCCGTACATCAAGGTGCTGCCAACGCAGTTGCAGATCCAGCCCCCGCCCGCGCCAGGGATCCCAGCGGAACCAACAGCTCCGAGCCCGAGCGGGGACCTCCGCCTCCGCGATGTTACGGTCGCCGAAGAGGCGGGATGGGGGCTGGGGCAGCTGTCGTGAGCACCGAATCCAGCCAGCGCCTGCCCTCTTTTTTTCTTTCGGACCCGGCTGTCCCGCAAGGTCCGTCAGCACTAACCTGCCAATGAGGCTCACAATACGGTGAACGGCGGGCCCCAGTACATGTCAGTTCAGCAGCAGGGCAGGCCAGCGTTTTTTTCTCGGTGCCGCAGCGCACCAGCAGTGAGGAGAGTGGATGGGGGAGCGAGGGAGTGGGGGGAAGGAGTACTCTCAGCGAGCGGGGGCCCGCCTCCACGGGGAGGCACCCCCGCCCGCCTGCGTCTCAGATCCAGCTCACGAAGGCAGGGTTCCCCTGCTACGGTGCAGCGGCCCCTACCATAGGGTAGGAGGACGCGCGCACCAGGCAGCCCCCAGGACTACCAGTAGTAAAGGGGGCCTGCATCCATAGCTTCACCCAGAGGTCCTGCTTTTTTTGTAGGCGAAGTAACTCAGACCCCCAAGGGCCTTGTCCTTATCCTTATCCTTTTATCCATATCCTCCTCCTCCTCCTTCTCCTCCTCTTTCGCAGTCTCATCCTCCAATCATCCTCTCCATGTGCCCCTCTGGCTGGCTGCCCGCCACCCATTTTCCTCCCCCCTGCAACCTGACCAGGGGCGAAACCTAAACCATGACAGCATCCCCCCACCATCAACAACACCACCACCATCCCAGACACAAAACATTTCAAAGTGCACATTACTGTCAAATCTGGATCATTCGCGGGCACCGAGCGATCACGTTGCATTGTTTTTGATGGGGGCGAGGGGGGGGCTCGCATATTGCATGCTGCGCGCAGGCCCAGTATCCCTCTCCAAAAACAATGCTAAAACCACTTCTCGGCAACGACCATGTGCGGGCGCTCGTGATCACTTTGCGTCCTTCTCTGACAGGGATGATGGGGTTGCCATGGCACGCGCGGCGCACCTCGCGGGCGTCGCGCACCTGGCTGGCGTCTGCATTGGTTCCCGATGACGGTCGATGGCGGCCCCTGACCATGCTGGGACTTGAGCGCTACTTATGTGACGGGAGGGCGTGGGTAAATGTGAGCGACACGGCCGTCCTTCGGGTGGGCAGCTTGCCTTCACCCTCACACTCCCCCTCCCCCTCCAGATCCTCCTGGGAACTCCTTCTCCCCATCTGCCTGGGAGCTCGCTGGTAATCCAGAGGCTCCGCTGAGGATGCCCAGTCCGAACTCTTCAGAACCCACGCGGACTATCTGGCCGACCCGAGAAACCCTGACCCCGGAGATAGTGGAGTCTCGCTTCTGCTAATTGTTGCCGCCTTCAGTCAACCTCCAGCGGGCTTCCGCAGGCGGAACCGCCGCCGCGTTGCTTCCGCCGGCCCTCCGTCGAAGGAGACCGCGCGCCGAAGGCGAGCGAGGCCCTGGAATCTCCCCCCCCCCCCGATGGTATCCCTGAACACCAACCCTCAGCTCGGGGTCGGCGCATCCCGAGCGCGGTGAGGCGGAGGGGAAGCAGGAGGGGGATGCCAACGCCTCGAGCCTGCGCTCCCGCGGCTGGTCTGAGAAAGAACGGGAAGGATGAGCAGGGGAAGCAGCAGCAGCAGTTGGAGGAGGGAGGAGAGAGCATGAGGAGGAGGAGGAGGAGGAAAAGGAGGAGAAGGAGGAGGAGGAGGAGGAGGAGATGGAGGAGGAGGAGGAAGAGGAGGAGGAGGAGGACGAGAAGACGAAGACACATGGAACAAAGCAGACAAACAAACCAGAAGGGGAGTGAGGAGGAGGACGGAGGAGGAGCAGCACTGCAGTGCGACAAGGGGGAGGATGAGAGTAGTAAGGGGATAGGAGGGACGGGGGGAGGGAAGAGCTGGAGGAACAGTCCCAGGCCCACGTGCGTCGAACCTCCAGGACCATGGACACCGATCACGTGTCATCATCCGGAGGGAAGCGACGAGGGGGAATGAGGGGCCCCTCCGGCTCCCTCGTCCCACCAGCCGTGTCCCAATCATCCCTTCTCCTCTCCTCCTCGTCCTTTTGTCATCCTCCCCACACACGTCAACATCGTCATCATCCTCCTCGCTGCTCCCTCCTCCTCAACCCGCTTTTGACCCCCGTACGGTCCCCCGACCCCCCTGGAGCCCCCTACAAAACCTTGAAGCCCCCCGCAGCCCCCAACAGCACCCAAAACCCACAACATTCCATGACACACCTGCTTCTCCTCCTCTCTTTCTCGCCCTCCTCCTCATGCTCCTCCTCGCTTCTGGGGCGGGCCCATCCTCGGCTGTGGCCTTTTTCTTCAGGCGAGCCGCCCGCGGTCCCGGGGGGGGCCACGTCGGGTGCCGTCTGGGGGCGACCCGTCTTCTGGGGATACGGCCCCTACTGAGGCCCTGGCGCCGACTGCATCTAGTGGTGCCGACGGGCCATTTGAGGCCGTCCGTGGACACCATCTGGTCACAGAGAGCTCATGTGTGTGTGTGTGTGTTGTCTTACATGCGGGGGGACCTGCATCTACTAGGCAATCCCCTGTGTTACTGGCTGGCTGCGGAGGCCCAGGAACTTGAGAATCCAGTCGTGCCCGCAGAACGGGCTCAAGAAACCGCAAGGTCGAGTGCTACCCGCGGACGGGCGTCCCCCCATCGGAGCCTCTCTTCCTCGACCTCATCCTCCTCATCCTCATCAGCATCGTCAACAAAGACATCCTCCTCCTCCATTACTTCCACAACTTCCAAGCAACCCTGTAACCCAGGCCCACCTACAGCTGATGAGGCCCCTAGCGCCTCCACCCCCTCATCCTCCTTCTCCTCCTGCCCCTTCTAGCTCCCTCCCCTCATCATCGTTCTCCTCCCGCCGCCTGTCGCATCCCTTCCTCGACGATGACGCCGACGACGCCAACGTCCGCGCCGACGCCTACGCCAACGGACGACGCCGACGGCGCCTACATTGACGACGCCGACGCCGACGACGAGGCCGACGACGACGCCTCCCCCGCCGAGACGACGACGACGACGACGACGACGACGACGACGACAAAACGACCAAACGACGACGGCGAACACGACGACGACGACGACGCCAACGATGACGACGACTACGACGGACGGGCGCGCACGATCCTGCTACTGATGGCCGCGGTCAGCTCCCTGGCGGCCCCCCGGACGCCGGCCCAGCCGGCGGCCCTGGCGGCCCGGGCGGCCTCCCAGCCGCGCAGCTTCGTCTCCGCCTTCTCCACGGCCGCGGACTTGACGCCTGTCGTGGGCGTCGACGTCTGCCGCCGCGGCAGCGAGGAGGAACACTGAGATCAGTTAGGAGAAGGACGAAGAGGAGGAGCAGAAGGAAGAGGAGGATGAGCAAGAGGAAAGGCAGGAGCAGAGGAGGAGCAGAAGGATGACCAGTTGAGAAAATTGGAGGGAACCGCTAATGCCCGCACCGGCTGGGACAGGAAGGGCGGCTCCGACCCACCCCCGCCCAAACTGACTCGCAAACCGAATTTGATACTGAAGCAAGGGAGGAAGAGGAGAGCAGCATATTTAATATCATGAGTAGCAGCAGCAGGAACAGTAGAATAATGGCATCGGCCACCCCTGACATATCCTAAATTCAATCGACACGTTATGTTTCACAGTACATGCGTGTATATATATATATATATATATGTATACATACACATACTAGAACCACGCGCGCGCTTCGCGCGCGCTTAGGTTCTAGCTAGGAGGCGAGCTTGAGTCAACGAAAGTCGCAGGGAAGGGGGCAGGGGGAAGAAGGCCAGAGAGCGCTGAAGGATACAAATACTGGAACCCTCTTGTGATTTTGTGGGGGGCCTCGTCCGGCCGCTCGCTGGGAGTTTGACGTAGCTTCTCGGGAGCCTCTGAACCTGTCGGGGGCCTCCTGGAAGCAGGTTCGAAGCATTTTGGGGGGCCGATTTGGGGCTTCTCGGGGCCTCCTTTGAGCCTCTTGGGGGTCTCCTGGGGCCTCTTGAGGGGCCTCCTTGGGGCCTCCTGGCGGCCTCTTGGGGCGGAAGGCTCGAGCTTGCGGTTCGTGGTCCCCCTCTGGGCCCCCTCTTGGGCCCGTCTTGGGGCCCTCTTGGGCCATCTTGGGCGCCTCTTGGGCCGTCTTGGGGCCCTCTTGGGCTGTCCTGGGGCCCTCTTGGAAGCTTCTTGGGCCGTCTTGGGGCGGTCTTGGAGGCCTCTTGGGCCGTCTTGGACGCGGTGAAAGCCCAAGATGCGAACATGCGAAAAATATACGTTTTCCCATAGGAATGGCACGATTTTTGTTTCTTGGACCTCTCTTGGGGTGCCTCTCGGAACGTCTTGGGCTGATTTTGGAAGCCTTTTGGCGCCTCTGGGCAGCGTTTTGGCGCCTCCTGGGATATGTTGGGCCGGAAGCTCGGAATTCGAGAGTGGCTTTCTCCTTCTGGGACCCCTCTCGAAGTCGTCTTGGGGTTCTCTTGGGCCGTCTTGGGGCCGTCCTGAGCCACTCGTGCGCAGCCTTGGAGCGCTCCCGGAGGCCTCCTAGGCCGTCTTGGAGGCCTCTTGGGCCGTCTTGGACGCGGTGAAAGCCCAAGATGCGAACATGCGAAAAATATACGTTTTCCCATAGGAATGGCACGATTTTTGTTTCTTGGACCTCTCTTGGGGTGCCTCTCGGAACGTCTTGGGGTGCTTTTGGGAGCCTTTTGGCGCCTCTTGGCGGCATTTTGGCGCCTCCTGGAGCCTCTTGGGCCGGAAGCTCGGAATTCGAGGTTGGCTTTCTCCGTCTGGGACCCCTCTCGAACTCGTCTTGGGGCTCTCTTCGGCCGTCTTGGGGCCGTCCTGGGCCACTCGTGCGCAGCCTTGGAGCGCTCCCGGAGGCCTCGTAGACCGTCTTGGGCGCCTCTTGGGCCGTCTTGGACGCGGTGAAAGCCCAAGAGGCGAACATGCGACAAATATACGTTTTCCCATAGGAATGGCACGATTTTTGCTTCTTGGGCCTCTCTTGGGCTGCCTCTCGGAGCGTCTTGGAGGCTTCTGGGACCTTCTTGGTGTCATGACAGGCGTCTTGGAAGGCATCTGGAGCCATCGGAGCGCGTTCCGAAACCGCCTGCGAACGATCTTGGACGGCGTCCGGCGGTCCGACGAGCCTCCCGGCCCCCCGGGGCCCACATTTGTGGTCGGGGTCCCGGCCCCGGGCCCCCGGAACCGGTGCGCCGTTATGTATGTGTATATATATATATATATATATATAATTATATATATATATATGTTTGCATATATGAACTCATACCTGTGCAATTGTATATATTTGTTTTCATGACCGGCCTCCGGGCGAAAAACGTCTGGTCGACTTGGGGGGGGGCGGGTCTGTGCACGTCCGAACATGCAACTGCTCAAAATTCGGGATTGTTCATGCGTCTGGATACGTTCCAGCGCAACCCTGCCATACAAACCACGTCGGAGGCAACGCGCGAAGCCCTGAGTACCAAATGGCTGCTGACATTCGGTATTCTAAGACGTTCATCGTGCCAGGTTCGATTCGGAAGCCTTCACGCTAGCATTTCAAATCCTGCGCTTGACAGTCACGGTCCTGCTCGATTGCAGCATCACAGGCGAACCTGCCATTGTGCGGCTGACGACGACATCGACGAAACACACGAGAAGGACCGAAGTACTACGAGGAGGAACGCCAACAGAAATAGTGACAATAACGTCGAGAAACGAAACAGCAATTCAATCGTCAGGGGCGGTTTAACAGATCTGCTGCACTCCGGTGGAAGTGGGCGACACGCGTCGTGGTTATTTGGCTCGTCTCGACATCTTGGAGCTAACGAAGGATAGCGCACGCATACACATCATATATCACACGCGCCCCCAACAAGATGTTACATTACAAAAGCGAATACAATCCAGAAACCTCGCGCCGGCCACGGCGCGTGAGCAGTGGGTGAACATGTGCACGGAAGCGGATGCCTTCAGCACGCCGCCCATGCCTTGACGTTCCCACCTGCGAGCTGCACCGCCCCTTCGGCGGAAGTAATCAGCAAGTCGCTCACGGGAACCAGCAACATTCTCGCAACTCTTTAGCACCATGGGCCCCCAAGACTGTCTCGGGCGGCCTGTTCTTCTTTTCCTCAAAACGGCTCTTCGGAGGCAGACCGCCCGGCTCAAGCACCGAGCTTTTCACTGGATCCTCGTCCAGTCTTCTGGCCGAATCGCCCATGTACAACACTTGTCAATGCGCGAGACGATCGCTCAAAGACATCAGATGGCAAATCTGCAGAACTATACGATTCGACGCCCGCGTGGAGCACGACGGGGGGGACTGTGCAAGTCTGTCTGACAAATAATTCTGGAACCCGTCGAACACGCTTCCCTCGGATGGGCGAAGGCAAGCAGTGAATAATACAGATGTGAGTTTGGAAACAAGACGACCAGGTTCTTGCAAACACCTTGGAATCACTTCTGGCCGCCCCAATTCTCCGACTCAGCTCTGCGCCGACGCGCCCGTCCGCAGCAATAGACGCCCCGAGATAAATGAATGACTGCTTGGCTGGAGTGGGGACCTCGTTGCGTCCCGCAATATCTGCTTCAATTCTCACTTTCAGAAATTCCAGCTTGCCCCAGCTGAACTGCAACCCGTAATGGCCTCAACGCAACGCATCAGTTCTTGAACGAAGGCCCGGTCAGAGTCTATGAGCAACGTGTCGTCCGCGTACACGAGGTCCCTCACAAACCGATGTTCATGTATCGGTCGGGCACGTTTCTGCAGCAGCGCGTGCGCGTCCGTGACAAGCGTCGTCATCACAATGGTGAACAAGAAAGGGGACAGCGGACAGCCCTGACATATGCCGTACCTCTGCTGATGTACGCTGGACGTGGGCCCGACGTCCCTCACGACGGAAACCAAAACCCTCGACCGGCCCCGTCTCTCCGCGGCATTCCCGAGCTGATCGATCCGTGAGGCCCCCGTTGCACGCGATTGGAGCGAAGACGCCCCTCCAAACTTGTTCACAGAGCTGGTATGTGCGGGCATTCCCTCTGGCTTGTGTCTGGCCGTAGCTTGCGCCTCACCCGGCCACTCGGGGATAATTCTAGACAATCTCGGAGAGCTCCTGACGAGGCGCAACGGATGGAACACACCATGGGGCGCGAAAACTCCCAGCAAAGGCTCAACCACGATGAACGTCGACGACGACCGAAAACGATCGACGACGACGACGACAATCGACGACAATCGACGATCGACGAGCAACGACGATGACCGACGACCACGACAACAGCGACGGCGACGACGACAAGGCGCTCATCCCCGCCGCGGCTTCGAGGTGGACGAAGGGGTGGGGGAGCAAAGGGGTGGGAGGTCAGCAAATCAGATGCTCACAGCCCAAGATGCTAGCACTGCCATGTGGCTGGCAGATCAAATCCTGGACTGTCCGTCTCCTTCCCCTCTCCCGCATGCTGGGCAATTCGCTTCTCGGAGTCTTCGTTGGGCCCTGTCGCTAGTGCAGCCATTTTGCCTCGCCGCCGACGAAAGCAGTGTTGAGGAACGAGGCCCGGCGGCCTGGCCGCAAAAACCAGTCGCGCGCGTTTCACTTCGTACTTGTACCCGCCTTTCGTCCGGGTGCGCCGAAGAGGGGGGCCAGGCAGAGGGGAGGTAGCGCCCCATGGTCCGAGGCATGTGCGCGGATGGCGGGGGGGCCCGGGGGGGGCGTACAGTCGAAACAAGGCCATCATGACGTGGGCCAAGAACGTGGGCCTCTTCGCTGGAAGACCGACGCCCCGTGGAGATACCCAGAGCGAAAGCCATTCCAAGGTGGAGAGCCCCCACGTAACACAAGGGTTGTTCTTCAATCTCGTACCAGCGGCACTCAAAAAAGAATCCGCGGCTGTGAAATCTGATGGGCTTCATGGCCCCGGTTATGATATCCACCCCCTCATCCTCAACCGCTTCCCAGGCAATGCCAAGGGGGCCCACCACTACAGACGAACATGTGATCAAGAAAACCACCATTTAAGACATCTGGGCCAGCTTCCCGGAAGCTTCTGGAAACAAGCCTGGGCCAAAATCTGTTGTTCGCGCTGGAGGGGCGAGCGTGCTCGAGAAATTGGGCCAGCTTTCTGGCAAGTTGGTTAAGAAGCGCTGGTCCAGTTTTTCGGGAGGAGGTTTCTTCATCAGATGCTCGACAATATGCATGGGGATCGCCTCCTCCCCCCGTGGAGATTACCCCTCAGGACCCTCCAACATCACCAGAGCCTCCTAGAACGCTCAAGATCGTCCAGGCACCCCTCCGACCCTTTATCCCCTAATCCCGACCCTGCGGGGGAGCTGTCGGTCCTCTTTGTCGTGACCCCCTGAGTATTGCCTGATCCTCTCCGACGCCACCGATCTTGGAGGTCCCCAAACGTTGCGGTGACAGACCGTGCGGCGACATCGGAACTCCCAATGAACAGGGCGGTTCGGCGGCGGAGACGCAACAGGCCGTCTAGAGCACGCTGGCCGCGCACGTTTGCGAATGATCACCAAGATCCTCGAGGGGTGCCAACCCACAGAGGCTGGCCGCAAGCTGTGAGCAGCTTGCTCGACCTGATTTGTTCGGCAGCCGAGCAAGGCCGAGGTATGAAAATATGCCCGATAAACTCACCCCACGGTCCGTCACAGCACGGGCACTGGAAACTTGGAGTCCCTGGTCACCCGAGGAAGAGAGATTCCTCGGAGAACGATCTCTGTCCCAAAACCGAGCGCTCACCTCTCACTTACTCACCCGAGTTTGTGGTCGCCGCACTGATCTGCGGGGCGTCCAAGGAGTCTTGTGGAAGCGGGGGGGAGCAGGGGATGTGCTTACCTGAACAAGAAGTGTGGGCCATGAACCCTTGGAGGTGTCACGGCCATGGCAGTGATACTCACATCCCCAGAACTCCGACGTCGAGATATTGTCTCGGCGTGGTCCCCCAGGAACCTGGACCCCTTCCCAGGGACGGGCTTTTCATCTGGAATGGGCTTTTGACTGTCTCGGGCCACGGGAAGGGCACCCGGAGGCCGAAAATTAGTTATATATATATGTATAACAACTATCGTGGCGATTTTTTACGTCGAGCGGAAAGGTGGAGAACCCTCCCAGTCCTCACCCATCTTCGTGGAGGCCCCCAGGCATTTTGGGACTCCCCACTGGGGCACTGCCAAGGGGGGTGACCACTGGGGAGGTCGCCAATTCCTCCAGGAGGCGCAATTGTCTCGGGGAAGCGGGCCATCCAGAATACTTCAGAGCCTTCCAGAGCGACCCGAAACGCCCAAACACCTGCTCGAGCTTGAATCCTGGAACCTCGATTTCCAGGAGGAACTGGTGACCCCCCTAGTGGTGAACCCCGCTTGTGCACTCCCCTTCCCACAGGAGGCGGCGTCCCCCCCCCCCTTCCCTGGACCTCACCTCTTCTCTAGGAGCCACAGAACATAAACACGATCTTTTGGTGGTCCGCGCGGATTTCTTGGATCTGCGCTGGACCTCCTTCCATGTCGCGCGGAGTGCGCAAGCGGCGGCGCCAGAAGCGCCGCCAGGGAGGCCCCAACGCAGATCCGAGAAGTCCACGCGGAGCTTCGAGAGATTATGTGTATGCAGTTTTTGTTCTTGTTCGATTCTTGGACGCCCCAGGCGTTTCGGGACTCCCCCACGGACGTCCCATGGGGCCCAGGACCTGATGGGCACCCTGCTGGCGTGGACTGTGGCGCTTCCTGTGGCGAGGACCTTACTGGCTAGGGCCCTATGAGGGTTGCTAGTGTGCTAGGTGCCAAATTAGCGTGGCCAAACGCTTTTTTATCTAGACGCCCGAAATGGTTACGGAAAAACGAGCACCATGTCAGAAACAGCAGATCTTGCCCAAAACGGACAGCGGCTGCTGTAAGGCAGGCAATCTTCTGTCTCAAATGGACAACGTCCGCGGCGACACCGAGAGCGAGCCCGGTTCAAAATGAACACAAACTGCGGTCCGTATTCGTGTCGCGGGTTCGTGCCGTGTCGACCCTGGCACTGGTTCCTGACACCGCGGGAACCATTCAGCCTTGAACGATCAACCGAGTCCGAAACGTCAGATCGTTCAGCATCGACCGATCCCGGTTCGCTGGCGGCGTTCAACGCTGAACACCGGCGGCGGGGTCGCCGAGGGTCGACACGACGCGAACCTGCCGTACCCATTCTTTCAGTACCCGTCGGTCGGAAGAAGTGGGCAGAAAAAGATGCAGGACGGCGTTGGAAGTGGATGGGGTGTCCGCCCGCCCCCTGAACAGGGAAGAGGGAGCACCGCTCGACCCCTGAAGCAGGAACTGGAGTCTGGGGACCAGAAATACCAAACTCCAGCGACCAGCGTGTACTCCAGATTTCGTAATAAAAGGGAGGGGGTCTCATTTCGGGGGGGGGTCTCTTCCAGGCTATCTTGGAGGGCCTGGGGGGGTCTGGGGACGATGTTTTGGAGGGTTCTCCCACGGGGGGGGGGTCTGAAATGGCTTGTCTTGGAGGGTCCAGACCCCCTCCCTTTTATTACGAGATCTGGTGTACCCGTGCCAGTCGCACCAGAACTGTCCACCCCCCGTTCCCCGCGGGCCCCGCCTGCGCCCTTGGCCTCCGCCAGAGCCTGACGCGGGCCGGGGCTGACTGCCGCGGCTGCGGCTCCCGCCGCGCGGCCAGATGTTGTTTGGAGGGGGAGCGATGCCCGTCGTTCGGAAGAACGCAGACGAAGGAAGGCATCGAAACGAAGGAAGGCATCGAAAACGGAGGACGGACATGACGACGGATGCCTCCGCGGGAGATGCGCATCGATGACGCATCGGACATGTCGTCCGCAGACGCATCGAAAACATGACGAAGGAAGGCATCGAAAACGGATTGCGCCTCCGCCCGCCATCCGAGGACGAGGGCAGAGGGAATACGCTCGACTCTTGAAGTAGGAGGGCGCCTAAAGTAAATTGGGACCTGCGCATCAACGAATACCTATTTCAACGGCTTGCGTGTGCCGTTAAGTAAGGAATCCATGGTCTGTGTGGATCGCCACGTGAGGCTTGGCCGTAGATCTCACCGCCGCCCTCATCAGATCCGGCACCCTTCAGAGTCTGACGCCTCCTGGGCGCATTCTTCCACGAACGTCCCCAACGTACAGTCATCGTGATGACTGGGAAGGAAGGAAGAGCACCAAGTGAGACTTGGCCGTGCATCTCGCCACCGCCCTCATCAGATCAGGCATCCTCCAGGGTATGACCCCTCCCGGGCGCATTCCTCAAAGAACGCCCCGAACGTACAAGTGGCCGTGCTGCCTTGGTGAGGGCGGAGGAGGCCGCTCTGGCCAGCCGCCGCGAGCCTCGGCCTCGAAGGGAGGCACCCCGACCTAGATCCGAGGAGCGGCCGGAAACTAGAGAGCCCCAGCTTGAGACCAACGTGGTCCTGCTCCTCCTCCTCCTCCTCCTCCTCCTCCTCCTCCTCCTCCTCCTCCTCCTCCTCTGCTTTCAGAGTCTTGGCCGAGTCAGGAACGTCAGGGAGGCGGAACTGGCCCCGGGGGGGGGGATCATCGAGCAAGAACCGACGATATTCTGCTGAGCCCAACGCGGCCTTGCCTTCAGAGCCTTGACCTGCAGAGGAACGTTAGGGAGGGGAGGCTGGGCTCAGCGAGGGGGAACATCGAGCTGGAACCGATGATACAGCGTCGACAGATCGGCCCCCGATGGCAAATCCGCAGTCCACGGCGGGGTGAAACCATGGGGACTTTCTCGACAATCAGTGAGCGATTGCGGGTCAATGCGTATCCCCCCTGGGAACTTTCCCCCTCACGATGCCCCCGAACCACGGTGACGTCATCGTAGCGAGACATGGCAAGAAAGAGACCCCCAAGACGGCCCCATAGACCCGCACTTCAATCGCCCAAAGAGGGACCCACGACTGCCCAGAGGGAGTCCCAAGACGACATCCGAAGGCCAAGAGATTCATTAAAGGCTCCAAAGGTCCCCAAGAGGCCCGCAAGAGGCCCCCTACATAGGCGTGATTTTAGTTTTGCCCCACTGTGCCAGCGCGGCGCGAAACGCTAACTTTTCTACTGTTTCGAACGGGGTTAGGACCTGGTTCGAACCTGCGTTTCTGGGAAGTCCCGCACGAGCCGTGCACTTCTCGATTGCTTCGGACCGAGTTCGGACCTGATTCGAACCTGTGTTTCGAGGAGGTCCCGCACCAAGCGCTTATCTGTCGATTGTTTCGAACCAGCTTCTATTGTTTCGAACCGACTTCCGCACCTGGCTCGAACCTTTTTGGGAGGAAGCTCCACGAGGTTCGCCGTTTTCGAACCACCATCCCGTTTAGCCTTATACGAATCGAATTGGGGTCACAAGCCCGAGGTTGCCCGCCCCCAGCTGGCACAGCTCAACCCACGTCACATTATACCAAGCTCTGCGCGCCGAACGGGCCATCGTGTCGAACATTGGCGAACTTGGACCACGGCACAGTAAGAGGCCCCAGGAGGCCCCCAAGAGGAACCTGGAGGGCCCCGCAAAAGGTTCCAGGAAGACCCCCGGAGGCCACAAGAGGGCCGTCTGTTCATGTTCCTCCTCATCCTCACCTTCCTTGTCCTACTTCTCCTCCCTCTCCTCATCCTGTCCCTTCATCTCCCAGCCATTCCCCGAAAGGGATCCACAACGGTTCGGGGAACGCATAATCTAATAGCTTCGCCAGGCTTCGGCGCAACGGTTGGCCGCGTGGGCGTTTCCAAAAGGCAGGGGGCGGCGGTGACTCGCCGTAGGCGCTTTCGATATCCCCTCCTTCGCCTGCGACCCATCGTAAACCGCATCATGCCTCTCCATCTCCTCCCCATCGTCCAACCTTCGCCTCCACCTCCTCCTGATCCTCCTCCTCCTCCACGTTCTCCCCATCCGCCGTCCTCCAACTCTAACTCAAACTCCTTCTCCGTTTCCTCGCTATCATTTCCTTCTTCCTTCTCCTGCTCCTGGTCGCCACTCTACTCCTCATATTCCCTCCTTCGCCTGCTGTTCCTCCTAGTCCTCCTCATCATCACCACCACCATCGGCATTAACACCATCATCACCATCCCCATCGCCGCCATCAACAACAGCGAATTCAACATCCACGACCACCCGCATTATCGAACTCTGCCTAATCGACACCACCAGCAGCATCATCATCATCATCATCAGCATCATCATCATCATCGTCATCGGCATCGTCATCACCATCATCATCGCCATCATCATCATCAGCATCATCATCATCATCATCATCAGCAGCAGCATCATCATCGTCGCCATGGGCATCACCAACATCGTCACCATCATCGTAAATGGACAGCGTCGTCATCACCAGTATCACAAGCACACAATGATCCGCCCAATCATACTCCCCTTCATCGCTACCACAGCCATTAACAGCAGCATCAGCATCAGCATCACCATCAGGATCATCACTCCCATCATCAGCATCAGCATCAGCAGCAACACCACAATCAGCAGCATAATCAACAGCAAGATCCGCAGCATCATCACCAGCATCTTCAGCAGCATCACCATCATCAGCATGAACATCATCATCATCATCATCATCATCATCATCATCATCATCATCATCATCATTTACCTGATCACCAGCCACATCACCACCGTCAACATCATCATAATCGCAATGGCCATCGTCATCATGACCATCATCATCATCACTACCATCATCAGCACCAGCACCAGCAACATCATCACCAGCATCAGCATCACCACCACCATCATGCTCATCATCCCAATCACCAACAGCAGCAACATCCTCATCAACATCATCATCAGCAGCTTCCCCGTCAACGACACCATCATCATGCGTATAACCATCACCAAAAACACAATCACTCGAATCAGCTTCACCATCATCATCATCCTCAACACCATCCTCATCTTCATCCTAATCATCATCCTCCTTTTCACCAGCATCCTCCTCAGCATCATCATCACCAATACTATCATCAGTAGCATTGCCATCAGCACCCGCATCAGCATCAACATCAGCATCAACATCAGCATCAGCATCGTAAGCATCGCCATCATCGTCGTCATGGTTATCACCTTCGCCATCATCATCGTCAGCATCAACATCGTCATCAACATCCGCATCATAACCAGCATGATCACTCCGACTCCTCTTCACCTCCCACTCCCCCTCCTCCGCCCTCGCCTTCCCTCTCCTCCGATCTCTTCTTCCTCCTCCCCATAATCTCAAACTCCTTCTCCCCCTCCTCGTCCTCCTGTTCTTCCTCCTTTCGTTTCCATATGAGCAGCGTCTCCCTGTCGCACACCGAAGCCAGATTTTAGGGCGGGCCCAGCGTTTCGCTTGAGACCGATTCACCACCTATGATCCTCAAGCTTCAAACATGGCAATCGCTGTGCAGATGGAGGGCGGATGGTTTTCAAAATAAAGTTTTCGCATCAGCGCTGCGCGCATTCGTTTCAAAAAGTTGCAAGAGCTTCACGGATTGAGGGCGGACGGTTTTCAAAATGTGGCTCTCGCCCTAGTGCCACGCGCATTCGTTTTTTCGGGGGGGGGGGGGGGGGGGGGAAATTTCTCATCGTCCGCACGCCCTGCGCTGCTGCGACCACTTCCGCTGCTACCGGGCGAGGGAGGAGAGAGGAGAGAAGGCAAGCAGAAGACGCGACACGACGACGACGAAGACGACGGCGGTTGCCACCGATTCCCAAACAACGCTTGCACTACGCCACGCCGACCCTGTCTGGGGCCCACACCACGGCCCAATTCCCAAAGAGCGTTTGCACTTAGGCGGACCCTGTGTGGGATCCAACGGTCGCCCTGTTTGGGTCTCGTCGGGCTCAGACAATCACCTTCGCGATCTGCCCTGGCCTAACTCCCAACGCGCCCCCACCCCAACGAGCGCCCCTTGCCAAGCGACGCTAAGATTCGATGCTGCGGAGGCGCTTGGCCCGGAGGAATTTCGCGCATCCTGGACAAGCGCCGTTCCTTTCACTTCGCCAGAGGATTCCGGCCGAAACCAATGCGAGGCGCCGCCGTAGTTTTTACAACAGCAGCGATCGTGCCTGACGAACAGACCTCGCAATCGCCAGGCGCCCCCTAGTCGCCTCTACTGGTGCCCGCGACTGCGCGGGTCAGAAAGAGCCGCGCGTGCGGCGCGGCTTTCTTTCAGACTGGCGTGTTTTGAGCCGTGTTTTGATATGGCGTGGCGCGGCTCGCCAGCAACGTCAGCCTCACCGCAGGCGCCGCAGCCGCCGCCGAAGGTGTGCGGGGCTTCAAAATCCCGCGCCGGCGTGAAACTATTTCGGGCCCGCCCCACTAGGTCATACTTGATGACCAATTCAGACACAGCTCGCGCGATCGCATCGCACGGGCACGCCCGATCCCGGGCCCCACCTGCCCAATATCCGACGTTATTCCATGGACAGCGAAGCTGGCTGGCAAGCGTCGGGGAAAAAATCTGGGGCTGCGCAGCGACCACTCGGCGGCGTTCGCCGCGACGCCAAATGCGCGCAGCACCCGCCTCATGGCGTTCAACGCGCCAGAATATTCCTCTGGGCGCACTGAGTTCACAAAGAATATCTTGCTGGACTCCGCCGCCATCGCTGGGACGAGAAA